AAGCATGCATTACAAGTTCAGTCATTTTGGGGCAACCACACGCCGTCCGCAACAGGAGTGGTGCAACTCTGGTGCCCTTGGAGATGCTGAAGGCGCACTCGGAGATACTGGAGGTGCCCTCGGAGATGCAAGAGGTGCTCTACTGCTGTCTCTGTACCCTGAGGACTGCTGCTGCAAGGCTGCCGAACCGTCGGTCGTTCGAGGAGTCTCCGAAGATGACGATGGTGAACTGCTGCAGGGAACGAGGTGCCTGCGGTTTCGCACGAGGACACCAATGGTTGTCTGGACGACGTGGAATGTGGACTCTGAGCAGGGCTCAGAACCGTTGCGGTTGACTGGGTGTCCTCCACCGACACTTCCTCCCCGTCTTGGAGAGCGCAAAGATCCCGCGTAGCTTGTCGAGTATTGAAGTTCCTTTGCTGTCTACAACGCTGGGTGGCGTAGCCCTCGTTGAAGTCCTGAACTTGAGGGCAATCAAGAACAAGGCTTGTGGCGGTGACAGGTAGACGCGTTTGTAGAGCATGCGCCATAAGGAGCTGGGCCGGGCTCTATCCCGACACGCCGGGAGTGTCCCAGTATGCTAGCAGTGCCAGGAAAAGGTCTTCCGCTTTTTGGAACAGGTCTTTGATTGTGCAGACCATCCTCTCGGCTTTGCCATTCGGCTGGGGATAGCACGGACTACGGACTACTCGTGATGTGCGTCAATCCAACCCATAGCATTTCACAAAGTCCTGGAACGCTTCGCAGGCCGACTGCGGGCCATTGTCGCTGATGAACATCTGTGGAATGCCGTGCCGGGCGAAGATGCTCTTGATGGCACAGATGACAGCATCAGCGGATGTTGACCTGAGCGCTATGACCTCAGGGTACCTAAACGGCAGTCGACGATGAGAAGGAAGTCCTGGCCATCCAGGTAGAACAAATCAGTGGCAACCCGCTCCCATGGCGCGGAAGGGGTTTCGGTGGCAACGTAGGCTCGCAGCGCTGAACGCTAGTGCTTGCCCAAGCAGTAGAGTTCTCGACGGTCGTCTTTGCCTGACTCTTGAGGTCTGGCCACCACACTGAGTCCTTGGCTAGAGCCAGACACCGGTTCACACCTTGGTACCCGTCGTGGAGCAGGCCCTTGCACAACAGTGACGGCATGACGAGACGCCCACCAATGAGCAGCAGGTCTTCACAAATGGAGAAGTCGCCACAATGATCCCAGTAGCGTGTCATATTCAGCATCTTAATCCCATTTTGGCCAACCTCTGGAACAGTAGACCCTCAGTGCACAGCACTCGGCATCTGAAGCTTACTGCACTCTGAAGTCGTCGAGGCACACTGCCAGAGTCGAAGGAAGGGCTGTCGCGACTTGCGACACAAAGAGCATGACGCTGTCTGTGGCAGACGCAGATGGAGGGAGGCCCTCGGGATTTTTTGACAGCATGTCGGCAGGGGCGAGGTACTTTCCCGGAACATACTCTACCGAGAACTGATAGTGCAGAAGTCTGATGCAGAAACGTTGAATGCGAGGAGGCACGAGGTCGAGATTGGCGATACCCAGCAACCTGACCAACGGCTGGTGGTCAGTCTCCACAACGAAGCTGAGGCCGCACAGAAACTCTTCAAAGCGCTGAACTGCCCACGAGACTCCAATCGCTTCCTTTTTGATCCAACTATACCACTCTTCAGCAGCAGTCAAGGCACGCGACGCAAAAGCGACTGCTAGGCGTACCCCTGATGCTTGCTACAGGCCGTACGAGCTGGCGTCTGCGGATACGGTCGTGGGGTACTCTGAATTGTAGTGGGCGACGCAAGGGCTAGATGCCACCATACGCTTCAGCAACTTGAAGGCAGTAGCTTGGGCAGATCACCAGGTCCAGACCATGTCCTTATTCAAAAGGAGCCTGACCGGCGCAGTCGTAGCAGATATATTCGGCAAGAATCGTCCAACATGGTTCAGAAGGCTCAGGAGGCGTCGCACCTCGTGCACATCCGTCAGAGGCCGCACGCTCGTGATGGCGGAGACCTTGTCTGGGTTCAGTGTAATGCCCTTGGCACTGACGACCACACCCAGGAACTTGACGGACGATACACCGAACTGACATTTGGAGGCGTTAAGCATAACGCCAGCTTGCTCGAGTCTCTTTAGGATGGCGTCAAGTCTAGCGTCGTGCTGCGATCTGTCTCTGCCAAAAACGAGGATGTCGTCCACCATGTTGACGAACCATCGAGGCCCTTGAGAATATCTGACATCGGAACATCTCCGGGACTGAGGTGATGCTGAAGGGAAAGTGTCTGTAGCAATAACGCCCAAAGGGCATGATAAACATTGTATAGTCTTGGCTGCTTTCACAGAGACGCACTTGATGAAACCCCGACGTTGCATCGAGTTTCAAAAAGACTAGCGCTTCCTAGCAGCCCCAGAACTTGGTCGATGGTTGGCATCAGGTGCCTCTCACGGAGAACGACCTGGTTCAACTTGGTTAGATCGACGCACAGCCGATGGCCGCCTGCAGCCTTGAGTATCACGACGAGGCCGGCGCACCGCGCCGCAGGTTGTCTCAACATGCTGGACGACGCCTTCTCTCTCCATTTTGTCGAGTTTGTCTTTCACCACCCCTCTGCGAGGAATGGGAATCCTTCTCGGTACGCTCAATGAGAAGAGCACCGCCCCGGGCCTGATGCGGATGTGGTACAGGTCCGGCATCGTACCAAGTCCCACAACGGCAGGTGGCATCGGTCTAGTCTTCGACAGGTCGATATCGGTTACGGAGCCAACTAAGTGAACAACCCCGAGAGCGACTATCACAGCGTAGCCCGGCAGAGGAGTGTCTACTTCGCCGACAATGTACAGCTTCTAATGCACTGTGCGATCTCGCCGTGCCAGGGTACCCAGGAACGTCCTGAGAAGGTTGAAACGGCAGCGTCCCGAACCGACGAGTTGCTCACCCATGGGTTGGTCCAATGAGGCAGGACATTCCGGAAAAGAGCAGAGGACGACAGAAAGGTCCACGTCGTAGTCCACCTTGAACTGGAAGGGGCAGCCTTTGACGTGCACGACGACGTATCGGCCGGGCGTTTGCGATGAATCCACGGAGTGCAGCTGGACTAGCCAAGATGCTTCATTTTCGAGCAACAAATGAACGCAAAATGTCTCTTTTTCGGCAGTGGTTACACAAAGCTCTCCTGGCAGAACACTCAAAACCTGAGTGTGGTGCGTTACCGCAATAGTCGCACGACACCTTCAACCCACGAGGCTGGCTGTCCCGGCCGCGGTCCTGGCTTCAAGAAGGTTCTCAAACTCTGGTGGAGGGTGCCACCTTGGTTGGCTTCCTTGACGCAGCATCAACATTGAGGGGACTTGACTGCAAAGCCGTTGCTCGACGTTTTTTCTCATTTTCACGTCCTCGTGTTGTCGAGCCAGTATGAGCGCTTCTTAGAGAGTCAGTTTCGGGTTCCAGACAGTTGCACTTTTTGGCGAGATTTCATAATGCCGTCAAAAATGTGCCCCCCCCCCCCCCCCCCCCAAAATCTCTATTTTGCTGGGACCTCTTTTCCCCCCTCCCCCTCATACAGCATTTTGTCATGGGCGGGCCCCCCACCCCGAAACAAAATCCTGGCTACGTGCCTGACTCAAGGTCCACTCAATCTGCCATAGTGGTACACAAGGAGTCCTGACACAGTCGGTCATGCTTAAATGCGACTGATGGAGCCATGAAAAAAGTCAGGGCATTAACCAGCTGGTGTAAATTGAATATAATTATGAAGAACACAGAGACTTTGTGTTTGTGCTGTCCATTTACCTCAGTCTCAAGATTCATTGTAATTACATTTGAACCAGCCTTAAGATGAAGTATAGTTGCAGGAACGTTGAAAGGAAACATGATTTTCACATTTAAAACGTTCCTCTATGATGCAGCGCTTGCATAGAGAATAGCACAGGCTTCCCAGCTTCAGAATACAAAAATAAAGGCAAGTAAGCGACCTGGAGTAGGCTACAAGAAAAACTTGGGCATCGGCTCACTTTACGTTACGAAGCGTGCGTTCTGCCAAAATACACAGGAATAGACTGTACTCTGGAAAAAAGGAAACATTTCCTAGATACTCCCTAAACTCTCCCCTCTAGATATCCAAAGTCAAATTTCACAGATTTGGGGGTTTTAAGTGCCAAACCAAACAGGGGGCATTAGCACGTTCCAGCAAAGGACTAGGGTTTAATCTAAATCACCTGGGGTTCTTTCGACATGCAATTAAAATTTCTGTTATGCGGCACCTTCCCCGAAATAAACCTCTGTCCACTTTGGACACCTATTTTGGCAGCTCCAAACACTTTTGTTGCAGGTGATGCACCAGTATGAGCTTGTATTCCTTACAGTATTTTGTTATACTGCATTTCCCAAACAAGTCGCTGCTTTTTTCCAAAATTTCCGTGAATGCACCTTATAAGAAAGATTTTTTATTTTTCTGTAAGCATATACTTTAGCTGCAGAAATTTGACACAGGAGGTTATTGTTTCTTATTAGATACGAAGGCAAGAATACTGAAACTTGCTTGCACGTATACCACAATCACAGTATACATATGGGTGATTATCAATGCTGTGTCACCGTGTCAACCGTACAAATATATCTGTGCGACTTATAAACCAACATTTGTGAGAAACAGTCTTTTACAGGGGGGTGTCAACTTAACCAACGGTGTGACTTAAAATTACATTAGTTTTTGCTGCTGCAGCACAGTCGACTTTGTTTCATTTTTCCTCGATTTGACGTAGCGGCTACGGGCCGCCTGGTTTATATTAATGTCGGTTATGTTCGCCAATGCCAAGCTTAGAAACAGTGGGGTCTGTGTACGAAGGAATGTCTGAAACTTTGAACGCAGTCATGCCAGTTAAACGCTATAAGGCCTACGAAGTGCTCGTTATCGCCGCGGCGTCGTAGGCACGAACGGGTGATGCTTTAAAAATCAGGCACGGGAAGCGACCGAGTTCGCCGAGGAACGTGGCTGACACTTACATAGAAGGCTCAGCCGGGCCCTGCGCCACTTCTTCGATGAAACCGGACTGGCATCGGGGGCAGATGTATTCCTGAAACGAGATTTTTCACACGGATGAGAGAATCCACGACCGGCGCAAAGGCGTCGTCACGAAGCGCGATTCGAGCAAAGAAAAGAACAGCGGAGCTTGAACAGGAAAGAACATCCTACGGACAGACGTCACGCTTTACAGATAATGCGTATCTCTCTCACGCGTAGTTTTACCGTTTGGGCGACGAGCGCTAGGACTTTGCAAAGGCACGCTCAGGGATCTAACCTCGAGATAACTAAACCCTCCAGTAGACGTAGATTTATTGAAACCACTGCTCGGCCGGCAGTTTGCACAGCGGCGGCTCAAAGCCAACAAACATCACGCGTCATTGTGTGGCGAGGTCGTGCTGCCTGTGTTAATCAACAATCAAAAACAAGCACAGCGTTCAATATCACAGGCATGGATGGGTCTGAGGACACGTTTGCGATGCAAGGTTTTAGTAACTGAGCTTAAAGCTCGAAACATACGCATTTAGCCGAGGTGCTGCTAAGAGCGCGTCAGCGATGGGGGTTACACTGTTATTAGGCCTAGGTGTATGGGCGATTCGGCTTAAAGAACGCGCAAGTCAGCTCGCAAACACGGTGGAACGGGAGCCCAGGGGCTTGAGCATGCTTACTGGCAAGACGGGGTTAATCTCCTGATTGCATTTGTGGCAGAAAAAGCGGACAGCAGGCGTTTCAACTGCTGCCTCTGCCATCGTTCTTTCCATTGATGGTCCTTCCACAGACTTTATCCCGCAAGTTTTCGTCTGAAACGTGATAGGGCGATAACCGGATGACAGAGGGCGGTAAACCAAAGTTGCGCTTCCGGTTCCTGCGGTTGTTTCTGGTTTCGAATTCGAGCAACTTTTCCACTTTTCAAATATAAATTCGGATCTTTATTTTTTGTTCGTTTAGTTGCAAGAAATCTGAATCGAGCTTATATTGGAAAGTGAAGAGTCCGTCATGAATGAGCGAGCTACATTCACAGCAGCAAAAGCATAGTGCAATCTACGTGTCGTTATTATTATTATTATTATTATTATTACTTACGGAAAACAGACTGGCTCTCCGAACACATTATGCGGACCGTAGCGAGTTTGGAATTTCCGTTTGTCGCAGAGTCGAAACCCCTGCGCTCAATGCTAACGCATTTCATCGAGAACCAGCGTGTCAACAGCAACAACTTCGGTATCGTTTTTTTTTTTTTTTTTTCCAAGTAGCAGTGGATGCTAAAAACTGAAGCTAACGCTTACTCACCTGGTAAATGTTCAGAATGCTGCATCCCGGTAAAATTACTTTAAAAAAAAAAAAAAATTATATATGCTTTGCAAGGTTAGCAAAGCTGGTTTCCACCATGCTGCAGCCTCACCTTGCCCCTTCGGCAGTGGCAACACCAGTCAGAGAAGTGAAATAAAGACCCCTCTTTGTCAACCCTTTACTGTCATCTCATTTTTAGCACCGTCAAAACTGAACCTGCCTTGCCCCCATGTTGCGCAGATATTCATACTAACCATAGCATGGTGCATTGGAAGCGTCTTTCTGATTAAAAGATAAATGCTCCGATCGTTTGTTTAATCTAAAACCATTTTTTTTTTTTTTTTTTTTTTATGAGAACATTGGATTGTTTTGCAACTTCTCAACAGCAGTTATGTGCTAACTGTAATTACTGTAACCGTAATAAGAGGCTTTCGAGGGAGTTACTATGGGCGAGTGGCTCATCGGTGAAAGCTTTCTGCTGGGTTTTTTTGTACAAACACAAGCTAGGGTATGTTTTCAATCTCTGAAATTTTCCCCTGCACTAGGAAAGCTTGCCGAAAAATCCAAAATCACCACTGGGATTACTCAGCACGTTTTTTGGTGCTAATATCCAGGGCACTTGCTCTAGAACCTATTAATTTTGTAGAGAATGAGGAGGTTTCTCGAAAAGTTACAAACCCTACAAAAAGTATTTTGGTAACATTTAGTACAAACTATAAATAAAAAGAAAACTGAGCATGTGCTTGTTGTACAGGGCAAAGCACCTCCATGGCTGTCTCTCATACCTAGCAAGTACTGGCAGCTTTTATGCAGAGGGCTTATATTATAGTCACACTGGCAATTTAAACAGTCATCGGAATAACAGGAGCTGGCAGCCACTAAACGAAATTGGATTAAATAAGGCTGGGTTGGTGCTGAACGGCTATAGTACATTTGACATTTGGCCATTAGTTGAAACCTAGCTGAAACTGAAACTGGGGCTCAAAATGCTCGATGTAGTTCACCCTTTTTCGAATTCTCGGTTTGAGAGCTTTTTTGTATGAAATTGCGTGGGCGGGACACGGGCCAGCACGAAAGTGCTCGCCCCTGTCTTCTTGCCCACGCAATTTCTGCGAGCGGAATTCACCATAAGATAGATCCTGTTTGCTCCACTGAGCCACGGTGACAGAGATTGAGCATCGAAAACATTGTTTTTGTGCCCATTTTGTAGCTATCTTTTGCCCCCGAATTCGAACAAGGAAGTCTTTCCCCTGGCTTCCCTACTGGCACATGTTCTTTCTTTGAATTTCCTCCCAAGAAATTCTCAAACCAAGTCTCCGACAACGGGCACCAGTTCTTCGGAAAGAGGTGGATCATTTAAGGATACGAGCTGTATTCAGCTATTCCAATGTTTCCACATGTCACTTCGCTGCATAAACTTCCTACGTACCCATTGTTATAGCATACAGCAAAGGCCAAGCTTGCACTTACAAAACTGGACATAAAAAACACCTTTCTCAAAATCTTCAAAGCCTAACTACCAATGGGAAAATCCACTGAAAAAATTTGACAAACACAAGTACAGGTTTCCTCGTATTTATATAACATCGAAAATTATGTACAATGATGTGTCTGCACATTGAGAGACCAGAAGTTTGGAGAGCATTTACAAAGACAGCTGGCATGACTGCACTTTCTGCCAGCACCTAAAAAAAAAAAAAAGGAAAACAAAAATCCTGCTGTGCATTTTGTCAACAAATGTCTGGCCAGCCATGAAACAAAGAAGTCGAACCCACACACTCCGGCCGTAATGTTCATATGTACAAGGAAAGCACTGTTGCACGAGTGGGCATCCAACCGCAGCCCGCTTTCGAGCTCTGTAACTTCGAGAGCCGTCGTATTACTTTTATCCAAAGACATGCAAACGGGAAATTGTCGAGATGACTTTCCTCTTCATAAATTCCTACTTGTCACCCCGAAATGAAAACCGCGATCGCACATGCGCTCCAGACGAAGCCGAGCGTGCGGCCAGCACCCCCCCCCCCCCTCCGTTTTGGTTTGCCTTGTTCGCTCGGTGGTAACGTAACAATGCAACCTTCCTTCTGGTCACAATGTTGGGAGCACGAACCACAACCGTTGCTCGAAACGACGGCTTGTACATTCCCGGTGCTTTGACTCAATCAAGGATCTGCGGCGGAAAAATACCTTCTCGAAGTTGTCCCAGGCGCTTTCCGAGCGCTCTGGCGCGGCAATGAAACATCCAAGCGTGCAAACAAGCGCCTTGCCACCACGCTCGGCACGTTTCCCACGGCGACTGAGCGGGAGACGTCCATAAAACCAATAACGTCGGTCAATGTGGAACTGAGAAAGGTGGCACGCGAGAACGACTGAACCGTAATGCCCAGATTTGCTCCTATGACAATGAGGTGAAACCCTCCCCTCCCCTCCCGGCCAAAGAGAGTCCTTCCCTGCGCTCTGTACACAAATCCTGCATAAGAAGGTGAGGTGCTGGCGGCTCAGTAGATCACTTCGTAGACGGTTGCCTTCTTGTCTCCTGAGCCAGTCACGATGTACTTGTCATCGGAGGAGATGTCGCAGCTCAGGACCGAAGAGGATTCTTTGGACTGTGACAGAGAGAAAGAAAAGCAATGCTCAAGCCATGTACTACCCCCGTCTGTGTGTGCACTACCAAAAAGCTCAATTAACTCTCTATTGTTTTTATAGTCCGAAGTATGGGACTTCAACCCCGCATTCCATTCCTTGTTCGGGCTAAAGCCACTATATCCCGGGAAAGTAGCGTCATTGCCTTCCATACCTGCTATCCGGACACATATAAATACCAACATACAGACAACCAAACTTCGCAAGCTGATTGGCTGATCTGTCTCAATTGCCAAGGCGACCACCATTTTCGTCCGCTCAAATCTTCAAAGCTTCAGAAGGGAAGTTTCTGAACCAGTTGCACCAAGATCACTATGAAGCTTCACTGTACTGAAAGCGTTCCTCGCCAATTGAAGAGTCTTCAGCACTGTGTATGTAATCAACCTATCAATCACGTTTACGTCCCCCGATCTCTTAGAATGATATTGCCCTTCTTGCGTATTTCAAGACAGGAAAATTATTTTTCAATGCATCCAAACATTGACGCCGCATGTGGTGGCGGTACGGGAAAACATACATCAGCGTAAAAGAGATTTCCTTTATATTGGATACACCAACATAAAGGCCGGCAACTGGATGGCAACCCTAAATTTTTCTTGGGCACAAAACTGCACATTATGAAAAACTTTGAAGTGGCAACACCTCCCACCTGTCAGTGGTCTCATAAGTGTGAGGTACCAGATCCATGTAAAAACAAAAAACAAAAAATATTTTTGCCTAAAATCCTAAATTTTAAAAATGTAGACTTTCGACAAATCAGTACCGTATTTACTCAAGTAATAGGGGCACTGTCTGTGAGCAAAGCCGGTGAATCCGATTTTGGGCAGAAAACGCGGATGGTCAATTGCCGCGATCGACAGAACAATGCCAGCTATTTGCGGGATAAAGACGACATCTTGACGTGAAAACACTCTCTGTGCAGATCGCATTCTTACGGAGAACCGTGTTTTTGACCTTGTCGTTCGTTACGCTTCCATGCTGAACACAATGACCGGCTGTATGTGCGTCCAACAGGAAAGTAGAAACAAGAGCTTTGTCCATAAAGTCGCACTCACGTTGCTTGTGCATCCTACAAAAGACACTGTGCTCGCTCGACATGTGACAGACGTATCTGCAGGCACGTCTCGAGCACGTTCAAAGCACATGCTTGCTTCCTACATCCGTTTGCTTCGAACACGTATGCACACAGTTTTTGCATGACCAACAGGGTGGGACTGTCGTACAAGAAAGGAACTCGCCTCAGACAGTGTCTCCAGTCTGTCTCTTGAACGGTGTATTAGCAGTGTGACTGCGGTTCAAGTAGTGTGTCTATTACTCGAGTAAATGTGGCCTATAGGTAGTCTATCCGACCCTTTGCAGGTGGTTCGGAGTCGGCCCATTCGTCCACTGCAATGGGCTAATTTAATCTCACGCTCGGCGGGGCTCTCAAAGAGCTCGAACACGTCGCCTCTTTCGAACCTTTGGTCACCGATGCAAAAATATATTGTAGAGGTACTTTTACAACACCAATAGTGCGTACAATCTTTTTATACCGAATCGAGGCAGTCCACTTTGGGCCCGGATTGTTTGGCACGAAACGATTGAGCTTGTTGACAACGAAGAAGAAAGCTGCACTCATCGAACACCTAGTGGGTGGCCGACACAATGTAGAAGTTGCAAGGAAAATCTATATTTTCGTCGGACCGACAGAAAGCGGCCGACGCCCCGTGGAAGTTACGCGGGACTCCCACCTGGAAGATGCTTGCCCCGTAGGGGGTCCTCCAGGCGTTGAGCAGGTTATCCTTGCCCGTGCTGACGAACCACTTGCCGCACGAGGCGAACTTGAGCGACAGCACGCAGCTCTCGTGCAGGTGCAGCTGGTACTTGTCCGGCTTGGAGCAGTGCAGCACCTCCACATTGCTGCTCTCCATCCTGCAGCAACATGTGGTGGTAGAGTGTAAGGATGCGTGCCCCTGTAGCCCCAGGAGAGAAAGGGAGAGAGAAGTGACACCCACCCGACAGCCAGCCACTCGCCCGTGGGGCAGTAACCCAGCGAGAAGATCTGAGAGGTGAAGTCGTGCTGCTGCAGCTGACGACCCTGCAAGGATGGGCACATACGGGAGGTGAGACGAGCCGAGGTCGCCGATAAATAAATGCACAGCTTTTTTTCCCCTTCGCAGCACATCTTTCTATCTGAAAAGCTGACCTGCATATGCAAGCTGCCCAAACCGAATTAACAGTCCACAGTCGCCAACCGACTTTTGGGAGGCCAAAATTTCGGACGCGCCCGACTATTCGGACAATTTTTCGGAACCGTCGCTCGCCCTATTGAGTCAAAGCATGACAACCCTCGATACCGCGCTCTACACGTCTCCTATGCCAGGAGGCGTTGTCCGTGCGATACAGAAGCTAGATTGAGGCTATAACAGGAATCGTCGCCTTTTTTTCTCGAAATTGAGGTTGATTTGTTTCACGCTCTTGTTTTGTGCTGTTCATGGAGGGATTGTGGTCGTCTAAATGTCCGGGCACCGTCCGCTGCCGTTCTGCGCGTGCCTTCTGTCATCCTCTCCAAGCGGTGCTAAATGGCGCCGATTGCATCTTTGACTTCGTCGTCTGCGTCAACGGCTAAGTTTGAGTCTGACACTTGTTTTGTGCTGTCCCTCTGGGAAGCCTGTCAAATCCACGGAGGGATTGTGATCGTCTAAACGTCCGGAACCGCTTCGCTGTCTGCCGATGTGCTTTGCTTATGGTTTTGTTTATGGACGACTTGACTGACGCTGCCGTGACATAAGAAAAGGTCACGGACGTGGACAGTGCACTCCATACAGGCCGTCGTGTGGCCCTCCAACACAAGCCACTGAAATGCAAAGCAATCTGATCCCAAAAAGGCGAAGCACCGTCCACCCAATCACCGACCTGTTTCTCCAGCCATTCAGTATATAAAGAGTAAATACTGCAGTTTTTTGGCTGAATTCACTCTTTGGGACTGCTCGATTATTGGAACGTCCTCACGATCATGATTGAATCCAAATGATCGATCAACAACTCTGCTAATTAATACTCAAAAAAGTATGGTTGAGAGTACCCACGTAACAAAGAAAGAAGGCTGATTAACTTGTCGTATCAGTCAAAGCACTGCCATTGTTTAAAAGATTTATTTTATCAAGGTCCTCAATAAAAAAAAAACTTATTTTTTTTAGAGAAGGAAGAATTTGCGTAGTGTAACCAGGCGTTGTTTAATCTACCACAACTGCACCAGGTGGCACTACTACATGGAAGCTAAACTGATCAAATGCTCTTTTGACGAGTATTCCTATGACCTGTCTCAAATCATAACATACGACTGTACTGTATATCAGTTACTGTTCCCAACAGAAAAAGCATGAAAGAAACACTTACTTTATCGTCTACACCCAATTCTACAACAGTGTAGACGTTGTTTCATAATTTCTGATAGGCAGTGACCAAAGCTGTGGTCAAGGATGAGCATTAATACAAAACAAAGGTAAAAAAAGTGTTTCTAAGTTGTGAAGTAATCAAATGTTGTTTTTTATTGGATGCCAAATTTAAAGACTGACAGATGCTGAATTTTAAAGGTGTGCTAAATCATGCTTTGTCCCAATGTTAACGATTCAAGAAAGAGGGCTAGGCCCAGGTCCCATACTTTCTGCCAATAGATTCATTCCTTTCACTTGCAACTGGTGCAAAGTGGTGAACTTCCTGTAGTATATTCGACTCCATTTAAAGGGATGCTGAACCGAAATTTGGATTCCCCAAAACACGCGGCAAAAGCGTGAAACGGGATGCTTCAAACACCAAAACATCACTCATACAGCGATATCTCGAACGGATGACCGTATTTTTCAAGAAAAGAGGCGCATTTGGCAGGAATGTTGACGTCATGTTTCTCCGAGAAGGAGGGGGAACGGCCTCGCGTCTTCTCCGACTCGCGGCCTTGAGAGAGCGAAGCGAAGAGAGGAGGAAACTTGGTATCTTGACGGTCACGCGCCTCGTCGGCCTGGTTCAATCTCGACTTGTTTCCAAAAATACGGCCGTCCATTTGAGATATCGCCTTACTATTAGTGTTGTAGGGATTGTAGCGTCCCGCCTACATCTTTAGCATTGTTTTTTTTTAATCCAAATTTCGGTTACCATCCCTTTAACAAGCACAGTGGCATTCAAGTAAAATATCCGGCAATTTAATTCTTGTTAGTTCCCTCAAATCTCGCTTTTTTTTCTGCAAGGTTCATACTATATATTCTTAAAGGGACCATGAAATGACTTTTTTACTTTTTCCAGATAACTTTTACAATAAACCGTCAATGTTCACTAAATGCCGAACAGGCATCCGTTTTCGTCTCGGTTTATTAACTTCTACACAAAAAATTAATGAAATATCGACTTTTTCTTGACCGCAAAACAAGCCGTGACGTACGATGTTTCCGGAACCGGAAGTTCTCTCTGCAGTAGGAGATGGGAGCGTTAGCGAGTTGGGGTGCGCCGGTGGGTTTTACTGCGTCAATGTCACCGACGTATTTTCTGAATCGGCGCCTCTCATCGCCGCATCGCAGCTGAGCGAAATTCAATGAGATAAGTTGCGCTATAGCGACAGCATGGGACTAGTCCCATACGCCGGTATGCCTGTTGGGAAGTGCAGATGGGAACAATTTGCCGCGGCGTTTTTCGCGGTCTCGGAGATGCAGGAGCGAGCCGACGTTAAAAAAGATACGTTTGAACTGTTAGCAAGAGCCACGTAAATACCTGTTCACACTCGGAGCGGACGCGCGCGTTTGATGAAGTGCTGTATTCGCGCTGTTGGTAAGCACTTCGGGACCGATCTTTTACAATTGCAACTCGATACTGACGCGACACTCGGCAAAGAAAGGTTGGACCGGTATTGCACGTATACCTCCCACGAACTGTTACAGCTCGACAGTGACGTGCAGTCTGTCAGAATAAAAATGGCATACCAATAACAAAGTGTACATACCGTGCTACGAAGGTAATCCATACAGCGTTTATTTCAGCTCTATATCACACAAAACAAGGGGAGGATCGACGAGGGTCCCTTTTCGACGAGTGTTCGTCAACACTGCCTCGGAAAACAAGGGGAAGAGATTGACCTCACCTCTTAACCTAAAATTGAGGTCAGCGATCAAACTATAATACGGAAGGGTCCACAAGGGTAGCGCGGGCATATTCCATTCAGCACGCCAGCCGGTCGCAGGCAGACAGACGGTCTTGCGACGAAGCAACGCTGCGCCGAGTCGGAGTGCCTGCTAGGCCTATATTCTGAGAGCTTCGTCGGAGCGGGATTCGCGGCTGTTGTCGCTCTTCTCGGGTGTTTGTGGATCCAGCGTTCTTGTTCGTCGTGGTTTGTTTTAAGTACATTTCTTTCTTGCTGCTTGAAGTCGGCACGCGCGAGATGAACACGTAGAAAAATAAACGTTCAGTCAGTCAGAGTTTTGAGAGGAAGGAAACCAAAGGAAATAACCGTTCTGAACTTGGCCCTGCCCTACTGCGCACGCGCAGTAGTTGCTTCGTTTACCACACGATAGATGGCGCTTGGCTCTCAGCATTATCAAATTTGGCAATTTTCGCCACACATCTCTAATTATGCTACAAAATGTGGATCTGAATATTATTTAACAAAACGTTTAGGAAACATTCGCCGGCTATTTATTGTTTACGATCGCGGTGCTGGTGAGGTAGGCTCTTACCCAATAGGCGATGTGGATTCGGCTGACGTGCACCGTTTCTGCGTATGCATCGTAGTGAAAAGGCAGAGCTTTCGAAGGAAAGAAGTCGCAAAAGAGTCCAGTTCTCTTTTAAAAGTTCTATAGCAAATAATTTTGTTTGGCTCCCTAGTCTTGTGTTTTTGTGTTCCTTTTCACACCTTTTACGACGTGCGGTGGATGAAATTCGATTTTAAAATCATTTCATGGTCCCTTTAAGCTCGTTTGCAGTCCTCCTTTTCAGTCGCAAAAATGTTACTAGAATTCTTTTTACACCTGTCCATCTGGACAAAACGGAAACATTTTCTCCGGAAAGGCTCATTAAGCAATACAGTAAAACCTCGTTATAACAAAATGGGATATAACAAACAAATGGATATAACAAAGCAATCATAATTCCCCTTGCTTGAATAGTTGGAAGAAATGGACATTGGCTATAACAAAGTAATGGTTATAACAAAGTAATTACGACCGCTCCTTCAACTTCTTTATAACGAGGTTTTACTGTATATCTATGTTTCGTGCAGCCTTGTCATGGGAACTGGAGGAAGGAGGAATGCACGACAATCTCGAATATTCCATTCATGTGTGTTCCTATCCTCCACTCACCCCTAAACTGGGAGTGCAGTGGAAGCCATTTCATTCAAAGTGAGCCCCGATAAACCCCAATTTTCCGTCTAACACCGAAAGTTGATACAAAAAAACACAGAACCCAAAGAGAAGAAAATAAACCCAATTTAAAAAAAAGAAATAAACCTTGAAAAAAAAACAACCCTACCAGTGGCATTCGCTACCATCGATCCCAAGGTGAAATAGAATGCAGCGACACTGCCCACTGTACGGGAGTGCTGCCCTTTCTGGCGGAGGGGGCAGCCCCTTGCTTCTACAGGGAGGGGAGAGAGCAGAGAAAGGGGGGAACGCACCATACTCACCTCTCGCAGGTCCCAGGATCGCACCGTGTTGTCCAGACCCCCCGTCCAGAGCTTCGTGCCATCACTCGAGATGTCGATGCAGCTCGCACCGTCCGTGTGTCCCTGGAACTGCCTGCAAGCCGGCGAGGCAAGCCAGAGCGACGAACGGTTCAGAATATGCGCTTTCGGAAGGTCTTCCCTCCTCGTTCATTCTTTCTTAACAAGTGGCCGGTTTGCGGACTAGCAGAACTGCCGATGATTGCCTTGCTGATCTCAAAGGTAAGGAGGAGAGCAGTGTTTTGCTGGAACGAAAGCTCTCCCATTCCAGGTCGACTAAGAGGCATGACAAAAACATGCACCATATATGCTCGTCAAAACCACACTTTTATTTAAAAATATTGGAAGTTCAACTTAGGAAACATAGTACTGTAGCACCAATATTTTGCCAAGTTAGTGTAGCTAGCTACAGAGAGACAACCAATGTGCACATGCTTGCTCAATCTGGCTATCACCAACTGTAGAGAGGAGCCCATCCTAAATATGTAATTAAAAGCTACGAGCACAACTCTTTAAGGCTGCTACTGTGACCTTTCTAGCCTGAAAGATGTGACAGTGTTGTCCCGTAGCAACCAAGTTCCGATCCCACATATTTACTTACATAGGCAGCTCTGCTTCTTCACTCATTTAGGTCAGCTTAAAGCCGTCACTGCTGCTTCGTGTATGTACCGAAGCAGTAGTGGGGAGGGGACTAAAAAGGAGCTGAACGCACATGTTCACTCAATCGTAACAACATAGGAAGTTTACTACAGTAAAGATATAGATTTACTAATGCAGTACACACAATTCCCAGGAAAACTGGCTTTCCCCAAAGAGGTCACACCAGGGCAGTGCCTAGCTTTGTGTCCAGCTATTAATTTGGAGCAGCTACTGTCCCTCTGGTAAGCAATCTCAGTGCTGCACAGCCCCACTCCAAGCACTGTTGCAGCAACAAAGCTTGCTGCAGTGTGGTTGCTATGGCAACAGAAACAATGATGCTCAAAGATGGGTTGAGCTGGCTAAGTCACTGAATGTTTCCAGAGCATTTGGCAGTGTTTGCTGTGACTGCTGTATCTTAGCTTTGAACGGCCATTTTGGAACCAAAACATGTAGACCAGTGTCTGCTCTGTTCCATGGGCACCACCATGTTTGTTTATGCTGAGGCCATGACACAGTAGGGGGGCTACGCTCTTTGCAAAACTCCATATTTTTTAAAACCATTTCGCACATATCGAAGTGCAAGAACGTCAGAAATGCACAGTCACAAACCTCAGAGAACACCGATGCCAAGAGAGCTGTAAAAAGCAAAAATATTGTTTTATGTGCAGCCACTTCCTTCACAAGAGCCTGCATTTTAGATTATTATTTCCCCTTTTTATCGCTGGAGGCTAGGATTTCGGACACTGGTCTCTACGGTGGAAGGGGATTCAAGGATGCCTACCTTCGCCTCCCAAGAGGACGCGCCGCGAATTACCATCGAAGTTAGGACGCGCTATCCAAAATCGCCAGTGAGACCATGGCTGTATAAAAACAATATTAATTGTGTCGCAAAACCTCGTAAACTGATATTTTATGAAAAGATTGTGCTCCTGTAATTCTGTACTAATCTCCAAAGACAGTTCCAACAAAAAGAGCTTTTTTCGTTTGTTTTTATACAAAAACATGCTTTCTAGACTATCATAATAACCACAGTATAAAAAAAAAATTTAGTTGCCATTTTGGTGCCATTGAGCCTTGGAGTTTTGGTACTCTGGGAACATTCAGTGACTCTAGAGCTGAGAGCTGATGCCACGCAACCCACCTGACGAGTGTCTGGTTGTGCAGGTCCCAGACGGCAATGTTTCCGTCCGAGCAGCAGCTGAAGCACACCTTCGAGTCAGGGCTGATGGCTAACGCGTAGCACGCTGGCGCGCTAGACGTCAGCTCTGCCTTGATACGCGGCGTGGGCTGCAAGAGACACACAGGTCAATAACCCGTGATGTGTGCGGAAGGGCAGTAGCAATTACAAGAAAACACTAGCAGGCATCAACAAAAGATAAAGGTAGACTCGCATCATTTTTCTTATCATATATAAACTGCTGGAATCAGAAGAAAGGACGAGATAAGGCATGAAACAGTGCAAAGAACAGAACAATAAATGTCCACATATTTTTAACACAGATCAACGGAAGTTGAATGTTAGCAATGCTATCACAACAATACCAATATTTGCACCGCTGACTAATGTTTCAATTCTGGAAAAAGAGTTTAAAATTGAAGTAACAAATACCAAATGCATTTTTTTGGCTAAATGAACATTACTAAGGAATGAAAAGGAAACAAGGCAACTGAGCATCAAGTGTCCACAAGAAAGGGCTAGTTAATGAGCCGGAAATAATTTTAAATATGCACCATGTGAAACCACTGTGACATTATTTCAATATGACTTAACTACTGATGCAACAGTTTCATCATGCCCATCCTAGCTGTTTAATCGCACTTATCTTCCAGCAGTCTGACAAAAGCTTACTGCATGTAAGCGTCATAGCATGTAACAAAGCTTCCGAATTGCAATCACGAAGTGGTCTACACTAACTCTCAGCCTCCATTGACCTGAAGCTCGAGTGCCATAAAAATATCAGAAACTTGCTTGCAAGTCTTTTATTTTGCAGAAATAATTGCACATTTCTCTTCATAAAACAAAGCAAAAGCACGCAAATTTTATGTTAGTTATTCAGATAGCGCGAAATCAGTGTGCCCTTGTGTGGCACCACTGGTTCATTTCTTAAGTAAGAAATATAGCCAGTGCAGTACGACCTCCGGCCTGGAGTTCTGAACGTGCACCACGCAGTAGTGATTTACACAATCGAACACCGGTACAATGCTTGTCCAGACTGAAATGGGCAGGGTCGAGGATCGAATCCAGGATTTGTGGGTTCTGCAGTCCAAGTTTTTACTCCATGTGCTCTAAACTTAAAGATTTGGTCTTGGTACGACATAATAAAATTGACTTTCTACATTTCTGTTTTGGGGAAAAAAACTTTGAAAACTCTTGAAAAAATAAGTATGGAACGGAAAATTACAAAGCAGGCGGTGGAACACTTTTTTCGGATCACTCTTGTCCAAGAAGGTTCAATTATAGAAGGTAGACTGGTTGCGGTTGCCCTTTGGTATAACGGAGTAAGAAGCAGCAGGTTGCAAGCTTTAAATGGTTAGTGGAAGGAGAGTGCATACTCACAGCGCCCAGATCCCAGATACAGATAGTGCTAGCCTCGCCGCCCACTATGAGTGTCCGTCCGTCGGGAAGCAACTTGCACGACCGAATGTAGTTGTCCCGTTGCTGCAAAGGAAGACACGAGCAATCAGACGACATTCGGGTGGCAGAAAGAGGCCGCGGTGATCGCCCCAAGTCCAATGGAACTCGACCTATTTAGTTTCGCGGGTCCCGAGCTGAATCTTGAAAATATTCTTCTCAAGAAGAGCTAGCTGTCTTCAGCTGTTGTTTTAGTAATCTCCAATATATTTAATAAAATGACACCAGGCAACTTGATAGAGAAGCCCCCAGAGAAGCCATGACATCAACCTGTGACCAACTTTTGCAAATTATCATCAAGTAGTAAAAGGTATTTCAGAAATGTCCGCAACAATTCGGAACAACTCTTTATGAAATTAGGTAAAGGTACGAGATAAAGGAAATGAGATAAGAAGGTGGTAATGGAGCACTGCTACACAGCGAAGTATGGGACTGCAGTGCAATTGGAGCTGCGACAACTTTTTGCCCATGCAGTAAAAATATCAACAGATGAGAAAGGTGGGCAAAATAAAACCAACCAAGGAATCTCTACCATATGGGTCCACGGGTTATCAATCATGGCAACATTAAGAAGAAACTCAATAACACTGAGAGTGTCCGTCTGGTTGACAACAAATGGTAGTTTTGCGAAATTATGTAACCAAGTGCTGTACTACATCCCATCAACACCATCAGCAGCCTGGCTTTGTCCATAGCATAAAAAAGAAGTGCTAAGGGGCGGCACCATAACAATAACACTGTCAATTATTTTGTTTCTCGACTTTGGCCAGGTAGAGCGAAGAGTCTATTAACGCAGTCCCAGAACTTTTATTCCACTATTTCCTTTACACCGTGCTACACCGTTAATGTGAATTTCAAATTGTCATTTTTGTGCATTTTACCCAGACAGATCATCGATATAAGCAACAAACTGCACCGCTTAAGTTAGTTCTCCAAATTAGGACTTTCCGCCACGCCAGTGGTTTTTATGGCAGTCGTTCAAACAGAAACAAAAGTGTCGCTCGTCACCGGTCGCGGTCCCGGCAGTGTTGCGGCTGCGGTGGTGAAAGTGACAGAGGACACTTCTGCTGTGGATCGTTATCCGACTTGACAGTCCGCGGAAGCTTCCACAGCCGCGAGTTGGGACGCCGCGACGACAGCGACACTCACAATTTATCACGTTTGTTGCCGAAACTTCTGGTGCCAACCACCAACATTGCGACATCGCAAAAGTATTCTGGCTTTTGCAACGTCGTTCGTTGCCACTTTGGGACCACTTTGGATGCGTGGGCGAAGTGGGACGTTAAACCCGCCGGTCGGAGGCGGGCACCGGTGACGGCGTGGTCCACTCACCAGGCAGTCCAGCTGCGAGACGGGCGTCTTGGAGCCAGGCTGGCTGATGTCCCACACCTTGACGCAGCCCTTGCCCCCCGTGTAGACGTACTTGGTCGGGCTCGAGATGGTCACCGCGCACACCACCTCGCCGTGCGCCAACGTGTTGATCTGCCGGGCATGCCGGGGGATGCCGGACCCCATCAGGGCGTCCGGGGGGAAGGGCACGGGCTGCATCTGCCCCTCGGCACTCACGTGGAACGAGTACGCCCTGGAACCGACCTCCCTCTCTCATCGCCGTCTTTGTCACCCCGTCCCCACCCGACGAACTCTCCAAGACACGATCGACGACCTCCCGAGGCCCAGCTAACAACCTCCCAAGGCACAGCCGACATATGGTGGTGTGCGAGCTAATCTCTTCCCATACAGTCTGTGAAAGCCGACCATTTAGACATTTGCGAGCAAGGCTTCTGGGCACCGCCCTCTTGCTGCTAACGTGGCTAGATCCTCGAATAGTCGAGCCTCGCTAAGGTGTGCCCCCGGTTGCCAGACTGGTACCCAAACAAACATTTCTTTTATCCATGGTAGCCAGACTAACTTTAGAAGCATGACTGCTTGCAAACATCTATAGTCCCCCTAAGCCCTGCTTGCCCGACCACACCAGGAGCTCGAGTCGTACGGGTCACAGGGGCCCAGTTAAGCCCCAAGTAGGCTTATGTGCAGCGTGTACAAGCCCTACGTCATAATCAGGGTTCCAAGCTTTCGGCTTCGTTCAATGGATACCAAAAAGTCACGCCCCACCCGGTTGTCTCAGGATTGAAGAAAAGCGGAAAACTTAGATCAGGACCTTATAATATGTGAAAACGAAAGTGTGTGCTGTGTGGTACGTAGGCTCGCAATAATTCAAACTCGGATATTTCGTACTTCTGGTTAATTCAAACAGATCTGAAAATTTTGGTTGTCCCGCTATGTTTTTAAGTATTTATAAGCCGCTAAATTCGAACGGCGTTTTCGCTTAATTCATACTTTTTTGTTCTCGCGGCCCCGTTGAGTGCGCTTCTTTTCAAGCACCAGTGCACCGCAGAGAAGCAATACCCGCGGAGCTTGTTTTTGCGAGTGTTGCTTCTCCGCAGTGCACCGGTGCTCGGAAAGAAGCGCACTCAACGGGGCTCAAACGGGCACAGATTAGCGGAAAACAGCGTTCACATTAAGTGCTTCAAGACTAGCAATGATGACCAAGACGACATCGAGGATGAGGAACAGCTCACTGGCATCATGCTTTCTGGCCTTGAAGCACATAATGTGAACGCCGAGCTGGCAGAATATGCTAGTCTTGACGACGATGTCTGTGTTTGTCGTGATGACTCATTAGAGGACATAAGGAAGTAATGCCAGCACAGTGCAGCAGTGAGAGTGAAGATGACGATGAAGAAAGGGAGGACCCACTAGTAACTGCCACAGCCGCAGATGCCACTGAGCACATCGCTCAGCTTCGGAAATTTCTGTCTACAAAGGAAGAGCCCCCTAAAGAGCTACTTGCGTTGGCTAATATTGAAAATTTTGTTTTGAGATCTCATGTACTACAGTCCACAATCTACAACTTTTTTGCCGGATGAATAAACTTAACGTCACAGTTCTTTCACCAATGTGTTATGCCTGTACTTGCTTATAATTAGGCCTATGTAGAGGAATCTGCTTTGTATGTGTAGCTATCCATGTAAAAAATCATAATGTTGTCTAGTATCATATTTAGATGATTTCTGATAATTCAAACTTCTGGTAATTCAAACTAAAATCTGTGACTTCCTGGAGTTTAAATTAATGAGAGTATTACATATAAACCCTACTAAGATTGTGCAAGGCCCATCGATGCATTGCAAGACATGTTGATGCCTCGCAATGTCTAAATTCTGGCAACCCAACTACAGCTCTCCACCAAAAGTGGAAGAAATGTTAAAATTACTTTTCACGGTAGCAAACTCTACATAAAATGCAAAATAGGCCCTCCAATTATAATAGAAACTAGTATGCATGTTTTTCCCCAGATTTCGAGGGCACCGTCAGTTACGAAGAAGTGCAAACTTTAGAGGTCAAATCCCAGAATAGGAAACCCCGAGCCAAATTCCTCTCAGCACCGGCAAGAAATGTCTGGTGTTCTCCCAACAGGCCGAATCTAGTGTCACGGGTAGTGTTTGTGTGATGGCGCTTGCCTCGGCACTTTCGTCACAAACCAGAGGCTCCGGTTTGTGACGGTCAATGCCGGGGAAGCGGACCAAGCAGACACCTGTGCTGCTGCACTGGGGGGTTCCCAAGAAAAGGGCGCCCCCCAGTTCGCGAAAAAAGGGACACTTGCAGACTGGATGCACATGGACATCACATGACTATGGCTTTATTTTTTGTTAAACGAGCAGCGCGCTACAGGTGTCTCTTGTTCCTCTGCCGTTTCTCTCTCTCTCTCTCTTTCGCAGCCTTTACAAATCTAATCTCATTGTTTGTCACCGAGAAGCTCTTCATCAACACGAGGCGATCATCTGCAAGATTTAGAAGCAGCGCCTTAGCCGTCTGCGTTGGCGAGTTTCGCTAGGCAAACGTTCTACTACCTCCGATCGCAATTACGAGAAAGAGACCTCACTGATAACCGGGTAATGCTCCTGTGGTACCACTACCACACTTGTTTCTTAGGTTAGGTTTGTGAGGCAAGCGAGGTTGGTTAAACGTTTGCCAGGCGAGACTTTGTCACAACGTCAGAAAAGCGCCACTCATCACGACTCGCGGGAATGGAAGCAGTGCGCGCAAACATCCATATTTATCGTAGGAAGCCTGAGACAGGTACAGATGATAGGAAAGGACGACATCCGATTTATCGGGGATTCGAAGGTATGATGGACATCTTGTTTATATATTGCGTTACCCTTTTCCGTTTCCAAGTCCAACAATGAAAAGGAAGCACAATACAAATACTCTGTTTGACCCCATTAATTCTAATCCACATACCCAGGCAATTTCGACTTGTATAAGGAAGAAAGTTGTGGCTGTGCACAATAATCTAACTAGCAATTTTATGGTATTATCCAACTGGCCACTGTGGCATACTGCACAAGCCACAAGACATTTTGATTTATCTTCTAGCTTGTTTTTTAACACAATCAATTAAGTGCCTTAACACTTTCTATCCTACTGATGCCATCAAGACCTGTAGCAACCAAACATTCGTTTCCAGTTGTTTTTTTGTTTTTTTTCAATGGATTTATGTGACGGCTGCTGTGACTATCTATATGACTGTATATAGGGGGTGCCTTTCCTATACAAAGATCATAGGCCATTACTTTCCAGTTTTTGAAAGACATATTGGATAGCTCATTGTTTAGAAGAGATACAGAGAAAAACTGCAACTAAAGTCGGGTTTTATTCATAGAGGAAGAGCCCCAGCAAGAAATACAACTGCCATTGTTTCCCTGACTCAGCTTTCCTACCCCTTTCGATTCAAGTTAATACAACTATGCTTCCAAAGCTTGACAAAAGAATGGGCACTGACTGCAATTCAAGCAGCTAAGATGAGTCACCAATTACTTCTGCAAAACTTTATTCAGACTACAGCATTTACAAGAATACTCGCCACACTGTTTATATATAAATTTTTCTCGGTTCACACAAGCAGCCAATCATCATGATCTACGAATTAACCTCAACAAACAACGAGGCAGAGAACACTTGCAGACGAAAGTACCGCGCTGGAATGCTAAGCATGACACCTCACACGCACAAAATGCAGCGCAGATTGCATTTTCGACTACAAGCACAATGTCAGCCCCACCATTTGCTTTGTTTGTTCTACAAACCACAATTATGGGCTATTTAGAGGCTCCGAGGAAACACAGGCATGCATGTGTTACTCGTAAACAGTGTGGCAAGTATTCGAGGAAATGTGGTACCTAGTACTCGTGAAGTATGCGCTACGGCAAGATGGAATCTAACTGTACTTCCATTATTCCTTTGAGACAGTCCAATACCTGGCACTCCTTCAAAAGCGATCAGAACCCAATTCTGCTTGGCACAAAACGCGGGCCGTGCACCGAAATTCCTCAAGTGGGTTCGAGCTACCCCGGCAAGTATTTTCGCATGACCACACTGATAGAGAAATACCAAATGCGGGCAGGTCTTCGAAACCTTTACTCCAGAGCATGGGTTCTCAAAATAGTTTCTTAAAATGCAGACGCTCCCCAGAGTGCCCTCAGGGACCTCCCTGGACTCCCCAAAATTTTAAATCGCTTGTACCCCCAAGATTTTTTTTTTTTTTTTTTTTTGCAATTTAAGCGCTATTTTTGCTGTTTATTAATGCATAACTAGTACATGCTAGGGTCACTGAATGCTCCCAAAGTACTGAAACTCCTAAGCTTCCTTTCAGAACAGAGTCGCGGCGCGGCAGTTGCGCTCCAAGTCCAGGCAGGTAGCCAGGATTTTGTTTCGGGGAGGGAGGGGGGGGGGCTCATGACAAAATGCAGTATGAGGCGGAGGGGGGGAGAGGAGGTCCTAGCAAAATGGAAGATTTCGGGGGGGGGGGGGGCCGGGCCTTATGGGCCCCCGCCCCCCTAGCTACGTGCCTGGCTCCAACCCATTCCCAATATGGTGCTGCCCTGTGCGGTCGAAGCAAAGCGCGTACGGTGTTGCATTCATTCTTTTGCGAACTCTTCAATGCACTTTCCTCGTCTGTGGCGACACTGGTTTGTTTTTATTAAAGTTCTTTCCTTTGTTCCCAGCAGTGCGCGACTTCCCTCCTTGCTGTCTCATTGCTCTTTCGCCAAGCAACATATTAAAGTCGAGTGTTAGGCCTAGCGCCCGAGGCGTAGCGTATGAAACACAGCACCAGCACAACCGAAGCGAGCAAACGAGCTGGCAATCTTCTTTGATAAACCAGATTAGCGGCTACTTCATATATATCAGTGATGGAAGTGGCATTTGACCTTTTGGAGCAGGCCTTGTAGCAGGCAAAATGTTGTTTTGGAGCAGGTAGTGGCCCTTTTGGAGCAGGGTCCGGCATATGTTGGCATATTACTTGAAAATGAAATAATGCTGCATTGCTATATAAAGCCCACCTCTATTATTGGAACACAGCGCCTGTCGCCTTTTTAAGACAGGATATATAAAATTGAACAAAGTAGACAGAAAAAAACATTTTTTTAAATAAAGCTTATCTGCTCGTCAGATGAAAAAATACAATTAAATATGTCACACTGAGTTCTGATGATACAGTATATTTAGTTTTATCAGCCTGCACATCTTTTAAGGTATCTGCAGCAGCATCTAACGACCCTCACTGTTGTGGAATGTTTTAGTTCAGATTAGAGTCGTCTTTCGGGCAGCAGCTTCAAATATTGCGGTATCTGATATTCGCATCAAAAATTCCGATTCATTTTCGATGTGCTGGCGAAGTCACGGTCGGATCACGGCGAGTTAACCCGTTGAGTGCGCTCCTTGGCATGCACCGACGCGCTGCAGAGAAGCGACACCCGCGGAGCAGACACCGCAGTTGCGCAGTGCGTTGTGCTCCGAAAAGGACGGTGAGGCTTTACCAGCACTACATCCAGAGTTTGGTGCAACTCAACTACACTTCGTTTCAGCTTCGGTGAGAGTGCAGCCGAAGCTACAAGCGCGCGCATGGAGCCCCTAACGGTGCCCACACTGCACGAGCCCACGCGCGAGTCATGAATGCACAGAGCATTGGGCTCGCGCTAGCTTTGACTTCGCTGGTAGCTAGCGCACGGGAACAGGGCGGGCCAACATTAAAAACATCCACAAGCTCGGCCTTTTTTTTTTTTTTAAATAGGCTGCTTAGTGGGTTGGTTCTTCGCTTAGCCTCTGCGGCTTTGGTCTCAAATGTTGCTAACGGTGTTCCTTTCAATGATGATGATGATAATGCGCCCACGTAGCTTCGGTTTGCGTAACAGTTGCGGCGCAGAAAATACCGCGGTACCGCCACGCGCTCTTGATAAGACTTCAATTTTTTTATTTTTTATTGCTACATCTCATCTCGGCGCAGGCATGGCGCAATTCTTAAGTAAAATGACGATTTGGCGCTACATGTAGCAGGATTGCGTCCTTGGCGCAATTTGGCGCAATTGGCGCAGCACTTCCATCACTGATATATATATAAAAAAAAAAGAAACTAGAGTAAATGTATGCACCTTCTGTTCAGTCCTAACTCGTCGATCTACGATGCCCAGAGCTCCCACCCCTGCATACCCGCCGTACCCGTGGTATCGCGAAAACGTCTTATGTATGTTTTTTGCTGCTTTGGGCCCATCTCCAAAATGGCCAACCGATAACTTTCGCGACAGGCCAAACCAGCCAACAGAACTGAATTCTGTGGGGATTGACTTCCGCTAAGCCGACTGAACGGAATTCGGTACTCTGGGAACATTCAGTGACTCTAGTACATGCCGAAAACTCCCTTGTACATCCATTATTGTTGACAAGGTCAGTAAGCTTCTGTACTGCTTTAACGTAACAACATCAAGACCTGAAGGGGTTTCCTTGGCTCCCGTCGAAAGGAAACCGGCATCGCTTGAAATCGAAATATTTGAGAGCCTTCGCTCTAGAGCGACGTCGAGAGAACTTTGGAGCACGGCCGTGCCGGGAGACGCAAACGAACGAGGGCCAACGACTCACGGTTTGCCGCCGGGGATGGTTCCGAAGTGGGGAGGGGGCCGCAGCGAAGGGTGCGAGTCGAAGCCGGTCACCTGCGACAGGGAGAGCTGTCCTCAGGGCGGTGAGCATGCTGTCACTTGGCCACTAGGCACACTGGGCCCACAGTGCGAGACTTGCTGGAGGGCACCGTTAACCCGGACTGCGCTCAACGAGGTGTGCTAGACTTACGGGGACTTTTCAGCTCCGAGAAGACAAGTTACGTCGAGGGTTTCCATGCATCTGGTCTGTATGGCTTTGCAATGCACGTGGCAGAGAGCAAAGGGCAAGGCATGGACATGCGAGGATTTTATTGCGTCCAAATAAAAAGGAACTGCTCGATGATCGCAATGGGACCTCAAAATACGCGGCAATATACGGTCATGTGACAGTGATTACCGGGGTTGGGGACGGAAGACGGAAAAGAAAGAGTTGGAGACGGAACGCCGAAGCCCTTTTCTCTTTAGGGCTCCACGATTCTATAGTGATAGAAGATTCTACAGTGAGGCAAAAAAACATTAACTTTCCTAGCAAAAAATTTAAAAAAATAAATAGGTTAGGTTTGCTACTAGTAAATAGAGCTCACATGCCATATCTTACACCTTTATTTCTTTTCTTAGTTTCTTTTTCCCCGGCTCTTTTGCCTAGCGCAGTGGTTCTCAACCATCGACGTTTCGCGGACCCCTTGTGGATCAACGGGGATGATGGAGGACCCCGTTCGTGGCGAGGAGAAGGAAAAATGTTTGGTTAAATATAATGATTTAATAAATAGATATAACTAAGGGCTAGTGTGACGTAGACCTCTGTTATTGACATACACACGAGAAAACTTGCCCGAAAACTGAAACATTTCTTCTCGACCACAAAAAGAGACAATTCTCATTGCCGGTGTGACTGACTTCGCGGGCCCCTAGAATGCCTTCGCGGACCCCAGAGGGTCCTCGGACCTCCATTTGAGAACCACTGGCCTAGCGAATTCTTTTTCCCTTTTTTCCTCGCTTTATTTCTCCGCTCGCTTCCTCTTTTTTCCATTTTATTAATATCTGCGAGTTGCGATTCAGTACCTGTTCATCGTACGCATCCTTTCTCTTTGTCCCGTCTTTTGAGCACCGATTTTCATCCCGTGCAAGTTCGCTACACGGTAAAGCACCTCGACGAAATTTGCGCCTGCCGTTTTTTACGAGTGCCGCCAACTATAGTTGCGGCAAGGCGAAGACACGTGCCGGGAGAGAGTGCTCTGCCGCCATTCACTTCCCAAGGGCCGCCCGAGGCACGGGCCATGTGAGCTGGTACGTTCGACCCTACTTGCAGGACAAATGCATAATGGGGCCTTAAGCCACGGCCATCACTCGTTTTGTTCTAGAAAGACAACCGACTCATGTCACGCGTGCCCTGTCTCGCACCGTGGGCCCGGTTCGTCCCAGAAAGGGGAAGAACAGCCCTCACCAGGGACCGGGAGTAGGAACTGAGGGCCGAGCTGTGCAGCTGGGAGAAGGCAGGGTTGGCAGTCAGGTCTGCAGCCAGGGCTGCCGCATGGGGCCCCCCCGCCAACGGGTACGGGTACGCACCTGCTGAGCATGCACACACAAAACGGGCAGTCAGGACGTGCTACGGAACAACTGGCAAAAACCCCTCTCTTTTTATTTAAGTGCCTGTCACAAAAAAAACTTTTTCCCAGAAAAAATTAATGTTTTACCGTAATAACTGCGTTGCGGGACTCGTTCTGGGTTGGAGTGATCAAAATGTGCTCTTGTTTCTAGGTCGGCACATCAAAATAGAAGCATGTTTCGGATTTGCTCCCAACTCAAAACGTGTCGCGCAACTTAAATTTGCGCTCTATGTACATTTCTTTTTCTTTCAGGGAAAGTTCATTTTGTGAACTCTCTTTGAAAACAAAACATTTAAAAAGAATTTAATTTTTTACAGCTCACTGTTTCTCAAAGAAAGTCCCCAAGTACACCTAGTCGTAAAATAAGTGCTAGAAACCGGCGAATGGACGGGGCAATCGGTAACTTGTCACGGAGGTGCCCGAGACGATGCAGACGTCATGATAAAATTAAATCAATGACGGCGCCTTTTTCAGTTTTCTTTTGAAATTCTGAGCGTGTGAAGTGCGGCTTTTATCCGTAAAATGGTTTAGCCTATTTCAGTGTGCACCTCAGAAATTGCCCGATTTTCAAATTCCTTCACGAGGTTCCTCATATTTCATATGCAAAAGTCTCGGTTAAATAATAAATATTGTTATTCTTAATAAATAAGTTGGATCAAACTAAGCAAAGAGTCTTCATGTTTTCAATTAAACCCTACGCTTACGTGACACCGTTGCCCAGCATCCAATACTGGTCAATGAGGCAACGAGCTTGCTGTCAGTGGTTTCATGTCAAAAATATTTTGAGTTGTTCAAGTACCAACTGAAAGTTTATTAGCCCCAATTAGCTCTCTAAGCAACGGCTTTCTCGCATCCAACATGACAGCCACTGCAGCGTAAAATCGGACTACAGACGTAGAAAATTGTGCTGCATTTTGGGCGTACCCACGTCTCTAAACTGTTACAGAACCGAGGGATAGTTTGACTATGAATGCCAAGGTCAAGAGACTGACGTGCTGAAGGAGCAGACGGGCGCCACGTGCGGAACGTACCCATTGAAGCAGACTTGGAGGAAGTGCCCGAAAGGGAGGGCTTTGCTGCGCCGCTCGAGCCTGGCGTTGTGGAACCGGAGCTCGTAGGCGTCAGCGACTTGGACACTGGCGTCGGCGACTTGTCTCCCTGGGAGGCCAAAGGAAAGCAGTGACACAGATAAGCAGGCCCACTAATCAATCACTCAAGAGAAGTCATAGAGGATGCATTCCACACTACACCCTATTCCTTCCTAAAAGAAAAAAAAACTGTTTGTTTCTAGAAAACATGGTGTTGATTCTTAGAAAATACAGTGTTTGCGTCGTTCTTCAGAAAACACACTGTTTGTGTCGTGCTTTAGAAAACCCGATTCAAGTAAATTGACCATGCTTAACCTGCACCAGCTAGCTTGCACCCCTGTTTGTTTGGGTGCACAATAGTAAGTAGTACCATGTGACCGCACATGCAGAGTTGTACACGAAACAGGAAAGACTAGCTTCTGGATAGTAGCAAAACTGTAAATTTAATCTACACATCTGAAGGGCCTGTACAGTGCTTGGCATGGTTAGCTCAAATGCAAGATCAGCGTAGCAGTTAACAATAATCAATCTGTAAATTAGCAATGGAAAATTATCTTAACACTACAAGAAGGTAAACCCCCCAAGTGTACAGTCGGCACGGAATGAAACGCAAACATGGAGCGCATGGTTTTCGACCCACGCTGAGTCACCTAGAGACGCAACACCGAAGGTTTGGATGCACTGAGCAAGAGTCTAACACATCGAAGGAGGAGCCATCTTCTTGCAGCTCCCATCTTGTTCAGGTGGTGCAGCATCTAGCGAAAACCAGGCACCCACTGTTCGCGTTTCATTCTGTGCCGACTGTACATTCCAACATGATAACAGTTTTAATCCTAGCCCTTCAGCCATGAGAGAAAAAAATTTAAACTGATGAAGAAGCACTTCGGCAAGCCATGTTGCTCACACTTCCAACACAGTGTGGCTTTGGAACTACTGGGTGAGCCCAAACAGCATCCACGGCGCTTTTCACATTGCATTGCATAAATTAACTATGCATGACAAAAAGTAAGAACTCTGCCTGAAGGTTAGCTTAGCCATCATTAAAATAAAATTTTCAAGAACCAAGATGTGTACAAATTTTCACGTACACACATATTTTAGATTTTCCCTTTGCCTCCTTTTTAGTGCCACTTTCTCTGTCAAGCTTGAGAAGAATTATTTACCTTTCAAACCCTGCACCTATCTGGCAGTTCTCATCACGCTTTGTGCTCTCTAGTAGGTGTTAGAGAAATCTGAGACTACGGCAGTAATAAAAGAACAATGCACAAATTCAAGACTAAAACATTAACGGTGTCAAAGATTACCGGCAAAGGCACGAAAATATTACATTAATAGATATTGTACCCTCCCCTTGGATGATGCAATGAACTTACCGTAGAATACCGTGCATCATCCCATTCTACATTAAGTGCCCATTCCCAAATTTTTAAGATCTGAGAAAATATGCACAGTACATTTACATGTAAAACCGATGACCAGACAAGCACCCATCCCTCATTTTTTCGTGATTATTCCTAAATTTCGAGTGGGCACTTGCCCAGTATTTTACGGTAATTGAAAATTTCATATTTTCAGATACAATCTCTTAATTGGAGTAATGCAGCAGTGTCGAACTTTTGCGTCTTGCTGCCACTGTCACTACTTCCTTCGGGCAATGTCTTGGCTTTCTGTGAAAGCATTTTTTACTATGCGACTGTAATCGAAAGCTATGTTATTGGGCCATGAGTTGGCACTATAGTTTCCAAAGTTGCAAGGGCATACCCATGTGCTAAAATAAAAGAAACCCTCCTTACCCAAGGGGAGGCACACTCGTACTCAAATAAAGCTGACCGGAGAACGGTGCTCTTATTACCTTTGACATGCCTACAGCAAATAATATGACACCACAAAAACAACATAAACTAAACAAAATAAGTCACGACGGTTAGCACCGATAAAAGTAAACATAAGATAGAGATGATAAAAAAAGAGGACAGGCAACACAGAAGTCTAAAAACCGAAACTTCCGCACCGTCTGTCCCTCCAAGCTTTTTTTTTTCCCCCCAAGCAATATTTTTTTTTTTTTTTTAAATTATTATTATTTTTTTTTTGTTTGTTTGTTGTGTGAATAGATATATATATATACAGGGAGCAAACCAAGACAAGTCGATCGCACGCAGCAATCTGCTTTAGTGCACCGTTCAGAGGTGGCAACACCGTCTGGGCGTGAACGCGACGTCGTCGAAGAATAAAAGGGGCAGCACTCAATGACCGCCCAGTCGTCTGCCCCGGGAATCGTCAGGGTCGGTCGTCTCTTCTTCATCCCAGAGCAGCATACATCCTTAGAACGTCCCGCAAAAGTGCGCAGAACGTTCAAGCCGCCTCGGGAAAAGCCAAGCGTTGGACGGAGGTGTGAGGGGTGGGCGTCCTTACGGAGTTTATGCGGGGGCTGACGAGTCCGTCCTTGGCCGACTTGGAGGACACCGGCGTACTCCGACTGGACGAGGAGCCCGAGCGGCTCGGGGGTCGCTCCCGTTTGATGGGGCGCTCGCTCCCATTCTCCCGGGGGGACAGGCTGCCGTTGTTGGCTGGGGACACCGGGTCCTGCGCGTGAAAAGGGAAGGAAAAAATTTTGAGCACACCTAAACACTTCTTATGATTTGTGAAAGCGAATCATGAATGTCGTTCTTCCGCTCCTTTAGTTTGTCTGCGGTGTACTGGCGTGAACGGCAATGTTTTGCTACTGCCAAAGTTGCGGCCGCTGACGATATAGATGCCTCAGGCGCAGCCATGTTCCTCGGCGACTAGAGGAGCAGAAGCGGCCGCAGCCACCCGCCCCTGGCAACGCCCGACCTGAGAGCCACGGCCAAACGTGCGCTCTTGTGAAGCGGCCGCCAATGGCTATCTAGGAGCCGTTTTGCTCAGCCCATGGGTAGAATGGGCATTTCTTTTGCGATTACAGACGCCGCTGGCTCCGCTCCATGGGATAGTGGATGCTTTCGCATTAAAACAAGATTTAGAACATTTACAGACCAAGTAAATGTACCGCATTTTTCGGCCTACAGGTTGCACCTTTCCGTAAGTCGCACCCGTATATTTGTACGGACGGCGCGGCGAAACTGTGTCGAAAAACTGGTGTGTGTGTGTTACGATCACAATGTATTTGCAAAAGGGAGCAAGTTTCGATATACTTGTGAACGAATCAAAAAGGGAAATATATCTCCTCGTGGCAAATTTCACAATTAAGACCCCTACTTTAATATAGAAAAAAAATGTGCATAAGCCATATCGTTGCGCGAGACGCACCGATCGAAGTGTTGGAGAAGAAAGCCACGATTTAACTTATACACTGGAAAATATGGCACTTTCTTCTGTCCCTCTTAAAGGGGCACACTCCCAGAAAAATATATTTTTAAGTGTCTAGATATAATGCGTATGCCACAAAAAACAACTTTCCCGATCCATTGAAATCCAATCCCCCAGCAAGGGCCTTAAAAATAAAAACTTGTATGTGACAATAAAAGAGAGTGTGTGCCCCTCCCTACAAAAGATGTGAAACAGACTTACCTCATTCGCAACGTCCACGTCCTGATTCTCATCGTCGTTATCCTGCGAGAGTTTTGAGTGATGTAAGTGACGCCATGATAAGAGTTTATCGCGCACTCAGTACATTCGTGTGTTGATGCTCATCAACCCCAAAAGGAGCTACAAATTTGGACACACTTTTTCATGCTGCGAGATGTTTCGAAAGATCCTATTTTCAATGTCAGCGCAACTCTGCAACCTGCATTGTACAAGCAACTGCTCTCTACAACTAACATTCGATGCCCGTCCACCATTTTTTGGCCGTCGAGTGCTCATTTCAACTTAGCAATTTCTGAGAGGAGCTAGGAACAAACATTCACTCTTGCAATCACTGCTGCAAGTTTTAGGCCCAACATATTTCCACCAAGGCAATTTGTTATATACCCCACTTGATTCTTGGTAGTTCCAACTCCTCCAAAAGATGGAATGATATGCCCAAGGTGCAGAACGTTTGATCTAGAAAGAGGGTCTAGAGAGCTTCCAATTATAATTTATAGGTGCAATGTATGAGACAGCTTGGTTACCCCTTTACTGTCACTGTGTGTTTTCGAGAGCACACAGCACTGGGAAAGGTAATAACCTCAGGAGAGTGCTTTAGATGTCTGTGTGCCCTCACACTTTCAATTCAGCATCACAGATGGAAGAAGCTCCAGGCTTGGAAGCCACTGGGAGCTCAACGAAGATTTTTTATAGGCTGAAGTGCCCGTTTCTTTGCCTCCTCTAGCACTTTACACAGCCTAAAAAGAGTTTCCTCCCGGTAGCTGGCTGGCGGTGACATGAAAACACGGTTGGTGGAATCGGCAGCCTCTAGCTGAAATTTGGTGACTAGATTCCTAACGTTTTCATTTGGAATATCGGTGATATGACTGGCATTATCGAAAATCATACAATAATATTTGATGTGTTGGAATCACGACATTCATTCTTGGAACGGAGTATTGGAATCCCGACACTCATTTTTTGAGCTGAGTGTCTGAAACACGAACCTAACTTTTGAAGCGACGTTCCTCCAGCGGGCTGCTAGAGGAACCTCGAACTGGATTTTACGTAAGATGTTGCATGCGCAACTTGGGTAGCTCTTTGGTGCTCTCACATGGACGATGACATCGTGCTTCTCCTCCTTTCGCCGCTTCTTCTCGGATTCTGTGTCCGGTGTCCGCGTCCGCACCTTGGCGTCACGGGGGGAGGGAGAGTTCCGCTGCAGAAAAACAGGTAGCACGTTATTCAACCGTCCTGCTTCCATCCGAGTGCAGCGCAGAAAAAAGAGAACACCAGATATTTCTGAAACCAAAGGACGGCATTGGAAGCCTTTCAGTGTACTCTTTGTCATGGTTTTAGCTTATCTAACCATAAAAAGTCCTTACATTAAAACTGGTGACTTCTTGGACCAACAAGTTAACACTTGGTTTTGACATTGCTTTAGTAGCCCCAAAATTCATGGTGTGCTCCACATGACAAAACTGACGCAACTTCACTTCTTGGCTGTCAAATCGGTATACAGGAGCACTAGATCTAAGACAAACGTCCTTACATTGTAGAAGGAATGCAAACATTTGGTGCCTCTATGTAGCAAACTGAAGATTCTCCACAGAAAAGCAGTTCGGTTCACCGGCTTAAATTCAAGCAGTTGGGTTCACCTGCTTAAATTTTCAAAAGCAATTTTATGGAGATGTAGAAAACTGGAACAAACACCCAGCGCTATGTCGGTAAGTTTAGAACCTCAGTAAGATTGCTAAACACAGGAAGAGCTGCGTTTCACTATTTAAACAGGCTGATGCTCCTCAAAGGTGGGAGGGAAGACTTCAGCTCACTATGCTGAAGAGCCAATTTTTAGAGAAATTTTCATGCCACACAAGTAAAAACATTGCATGTTTTCTTACTTGTCTCTTATTTACCAAAACTCAAAAGACATCCAAAAGAATTGAAACAGCTGGAGACAATTTAAAGGCATACTTCAACGAAATTTGAAATATTCCCGTTGTGTTCAAAAATAGGTTGAATATGATCCACAATATCCGTATATGACAATCGCACGTTTGTATTTTCAGCCTGGTGGCTGTATTTTTCGTTATAAACGGCCCACTCTGGCAAGCGCTCGGAGAAGGCCCAGCGGAGACCACGTGACATCCAACGCAATCGTGACGTAGGTCGTCTCAGGACGAGCAAAGCTACGGCGAGGCTGACGTCGAGAGGATGGCCTAGTCGTTCCAGCCACCGAAGCGGCTGCTTTTGTACGAATTTTGAGTGACGGGTTAATCTTCTCTAATCTTGTAGGAGGACAATAGCGACTTCTGCGACACACAAAAGGCATTCTAGAAAAGAGGGGAGTTCCTCCTGCCCCTCTTCTCTCGTCGTGGCCGGAGGCGAGACAACCTCCGTCACTAGCTGTCAAGGTTGCTAGACGGGCATTACAAGCAAGGCGTTAGCGACATCCACCAGGTGCTCTTTGCTAATTGTTTAATTCATTTTAAAATTCCTTTTCGTGACTTTTTTAACAAGAAATTGGTACGTTCGATGTGATGCTGCTTTTTTGAACACATATAGACCGAAAAATGAGCACCGAAATTTCGCTGTAGTATCCCTTTAAGAACAGACCCAGTTTCTTCCTTTATAAACAGCCACATCTCATAGCCAAATGTTTGGCTGACAGTTTGAGGCTTCCCAGCCGACAACCCTTTCCCAATACCCACTGCTAGCATTTCATCTCTCTGGCATGTATATATGAACGCCACTGCAAAGTTGCCATGAAATCTGATCACTTCATACAGGGAAAGGACAGCTTGACTCAGTGCTTTCAACAAGAAGTGTGCACAAAGAGCTTTCACAAGAATTTGTTTTAGTGAAATACAGATATTAAATGTTACAGGAAGACTGAGGGGGAGGAATTGAATTCGAAAGCACACACCGAGATACAGAGAATTTCACGCGAGGCAGGATGTTACAATTTAAAATACAAATTCCGAGCCCTGTTTTCAATGCTCCGGAAAGGATACGGGAATTTTTGAGATAGCCGGCATGGCAGAGATATTAATAAAGAACAAACACGGCTGCAATCGGTATCTCATCCTGCAGGAGTGCCTCGACATCTTCCTGGGAGGAAGGAACGACGCAAAGACTCACCCGGTCATCTGCCGCTGCTTTTCCGGTCGCAGGAAGGAAGGCCGGCAAAAACAGAAAAAGAAAACACACCAGTTAGGATCTACAATGCACTTGGCTACAGCCACAAAAAAAAAAAAAAAAAAAAGGCAATGTCCCAGTGTTGAAGTAGCCTCTCTCTCATTATGAGTTACATGTTGAATGTTATGGACACTATGAAAATTGCATTAAAAGGCCAAGTGAACATGTCAAACCAGATGTGGTGGACCTTTACAGAGGGCTCTGTAAAATCAAAGCGGATTAAAGGGATGCTGAACCAAAATCTGCATACCATAAAACATGCGGCAAAAGCGTGCAACGGGATGTTACAAACACCAAAACATCATTCATACCGCGATATCTCGAACGGATGTCCGTATTTTTCAAAAAAAGGAGGCGCATTTGACTGAAATGTTCCTGTCATGTTTCTCCCAGAAGGTGAGGGAACGGCCTCACGTCTTCTCCCCCTCGCCGCCTTGAGAAAGTGAAGCGAAGAGAGGAGGAAACGAGGTATCTCTACGTCACGCGTCACGCGCCTCGTCGGCCTGGTTCAATCTCAACTTCTTTTTTCCAAAAATACGGCCGTCCATTCGAGATATCGCCTTACGAGTAGTGTTGTAGGGATTGTAGCGTCCTGCCTACATCTCCTGCATTGTTTTTTTTTAATCCAAATTTCGGTTCACCATGCCTTTAATGGAAGAAACCGCTGATGCTACTTCTCCTCGGTGATTCACAGTATCAGGTTTCAAAGTTTGAGTCACTGCACCTCACAAACACAGCAAAGAGAAACCCGTGAAACTCTCAGGATTTGTGGATTACTCAACAACAGGAAACCACCGGCCAGACCTTCGAGCTGAGATGGTTCAAAGGAGAACAAGCCCACCAGACCCCGCCTCACCGAATTACGCTACATTCTTTCGAAAGAGTGACTATGCAGCTAGTGGAGGTCAAGCACCAAAGCCAGGAACAGTAATACCAACGGCTCAGTCCTCGGTTTTAATAAAGGAGGTTTCAAGCTCGAGATGCTAGTTACATGTATGCATCTGTTTGTTCAAAACTCACAGTGTGAAAAGGTGTAAGGCAAAGTGACTCATAAAAAAAATAAAAAGCCCAAAAGCCTATTCGAGAAATGTAACGAATAAAAAAATACTATCCACAACTATCCCAGAAAAACAGAGAGAAAATGCCGCGTAGCTTTCGCTGCCTTCACCCTCCTCCCTGCAAAAAAAAGAAAAAAAAAAAGGAGAGAGAGAGAGAGAAATTTTGCTCTTCGACAGCAGTAGGCAGTAGCCCCTTCGCTTCCACCACCCCCGCCATACCCCCTCGCATTAATCCGCCATAGGCATGCCGGCGACGACAAATGACGCCACGCTCGACCGCCCCGGCCCCAGCAAAAGAAACTCGCTCTGCCGGCCTCTTTTTGTTTGTCTTTTTCGCCGTGAACCGAGTAGCGGCGTCGGTTGGCGCCTCCCCCTCCCCAGCGCAGCGCCGCGCGCGTCAACGGGCGTCCCGACAAGCGAAGGGCGTCGCGGCCCGTTACGCGGTCGTGGGGCGTCGGGGTCGATGCCGGCGACGCTCGCCTCATTAACCTCATCGCGCGTCGGGAGCTGGGTGCGCCGCTAATCGGCTAATTAAGCGCCCTCGGGCGCTCCCGGGCCTCTCGCACCCAAGGGCCCTGTCGGCGACGACACCGCCGGCGGCGTCGCTCGCGCCGTGGTACGTGCTCCGGTGGGCAGCGCCGCGGCTCGTTGGCGCGTCGCTGACGACGCTGCCGCGAGGCTCGGTTTCACTTTGGAGTGGCCGAGCCATTCCGCTCTATCAATCCGCCCGCCTGTAGTCGCGAGCGTGCTGGCCAAGGCGCGAGATGAAGTTGCTGGGGGTTGCAAGTTCATCCGGGGTTCATCCATGCTCGCGTGTGTGCTGCTATCATCACAGCTGACTGCTTCAGTCAACTCTTACCAAGGTCACTCGCACGGTACAGCTGAGGGGGAAAATATGGCAGCAATTTTTATATAAATTCGTAGTATGCATTATAAAACTTTTTTAGAAGAAGCTGTACAGTCGATTCGGGTAGCGAACGAGAACATATGGTTTAATAAGTTAGAGGGAAATTTGACGTCACGTGACGTCACCGTGGGAAATCGTGATGTCACGTGATACCATGACGTCACCTGGCGACAATTTTCTCGCTAAATAGAGGGGAGAACGTCCACGAACAGACGGACAAATGTCTGGTACAATAAAACGTGGGTTTGGGCTAGTTTTAACTGTTCACGCTTTATAAACGTTAACAACTGGCCCAAGTAAATACCAGTTACCCCCCCCCCCCCCCCATAAAAAAAAAAAATTGCAGAAAGACGAAAAAAAAAAACAAATGAGACCGAGTAGGGAACATTTACATTCCTTTTTTTAAGCGAGGAAACAAAGGACGCTCTGACGTCACTCCGCGGCGGCGGTGGCGCTACCGTCGGCGCGGCGAACTACGGCGAACGTACAGACGCTTCCCTTCGTACCTTCCTGGTTTCTGGGCGCGCGCAGGAACCGTACTTGTTCGTCAGAACGTGTTGCTCTACAAACCTTCGCAAGGCCCGTCTCCCAGGCGAAGAATACCCAGCCGCCGGGTCTTACATTCCTCAAAAGAGAGCCACAGCGCCCACTGAGAACGCGCTCCAAAGCTACCAAGAGCGTGCACACAAAAAAAAAGGGGGGGGGTTTCTGTTTCTCACCCTGGGCGGCAGCGGCAGCGGCGGCTGCGGCTGCGGCGGCGGCCCGCTTGTCGTGGTCCTTGAGCGTGGCGGCGGCGGCCGCAGCGGCCGCGGACACGGGCCCCAGCCCCGACGAGAGGGCGAGCAGGCTGGCCGCGCTGTTGGGCGGGCCCAGGGCCAGCGCGTGGGGCATCAGGGGCCCCATGCCGCCGCCGGGGCCCATGGCGCCGCCGCCGGGGCCCCCGTGGGCCAGCTGCTGCGCCTGCATCTGCTGCTGGGATATCGAAGCACGCAGCACGTCAAAGGGGGCGCCACTCACGTGCAGCAACAAATTAGCGCCCTTCGAACGTGTTGATCGCGATTCGTTGAATTCGGTGTATACACACATAAAGGTGCTCAGAAGACTCGGAAGCGCAGACAGAGACGGACGCGAAGGAGACACGGACGACTTACAAGTTTGCGCTTACAAGTTTCCTGAGCATCGTGCGCCAACTGTAGAACAAGGTATATTCCCAAAAAGCCTTATCAATGCAGAATGCTGGACTAGTTGGTACTGGGCACCTTTGTCCTCGTCTAAAAGCGCTACCATGCCCTTGACATCCTAAAAATCCCTCCACTCGTTCCACTTTTATGGAACGAACACCGGAAAGGAGGCGAGTGCGGAGGAGGAAATTCTCAATCGTGGCGAGCCTCTGCGGAAAGAGACTTGCCCTGCTACTCTAAACCTGCGACAAACTACAGCCCTGAGAGAATCTCGCATGGTTAACTTCTCTGTCCCTGTCGCAGCCAGATCTCTATTTCGCAAAGGGGCAAAAGGAACCTAATCGGGTTGCCGCCATATTGGTATACCGATGCTTTGCGTCCGTTACGAAACACTGCACTACAGTGTGACAAAGTGCACCCTCGAGCACAGCCGCAGTATACTCACCATCAGGTGCGCCAATCCCGTGTGCTGCTGCTGAAACAAAGCGAACACGGTGTTAAACACCACCGGGTTGCGCAACAATGGAGCGCAAGCAAATTTCTAAACACTGCGTCGAAGAAGACTCATCGAAGAACACTATGTAGGGAGTACACTACGTAAGAAACCTACGTCGAAAAACACTACGCTGGATTACACTACGACGAGGAACCTTACATCGGGGAGAATACTATGTCAGAGATCACTACGTCGATTAACACTGAGAACAGGCCGTACGCTAAAACAACGTGAAAGCAGAGCTGAGAAAGCAAATCCTAAAAAGTTACCAAGTTAGACGAAATGCAATGGTTACGAAGGTGTGTAGTTACTATTATAGTTAAGAGTAAAAATGTTACGCTACTTTCAGAATATCCCATGTCGTCGACGTGTACTGCGATTGCTGACCAACGGTTCAGTTTCAAACGCGGAACAGGTGTTGGCACAGCTCCGTGTTTATTTGTTTTATTATTATCATTATTTGGGCAGAAAAAAAAATTAAATCTGCTTCTTAGGCTGCTTGCCGTCACTAATAACAGTTTTTTTTTTTTTTTTTTTTTTTTGAAAATTGATATTAACGACAGGTTACAAAAATCTTTACCCGAGGTATATGACAGCGAAAACATAGTTCAAGTTAGTTCGTAAATAGTCAATTAATTCGCCAATTATAAGGTTACACGCAATACCGCCGCAGCTGACACCACTGTTCAACAGGGGAAAAGAAAAAAACCCATCTAAAACGTTATTTTCATATTCTCAGTCTCGAAAGAAAAAAAGAAGAAAAACATATATTTTAGACATTGTGTTATCGATAAGATAATGCCCTGTCTGCTCATTCTCAACCTAAAACGTTGGGCTCGACAAGCTTCCATTAAATATCCGCGCTTCGTAGCAAAACAAAAAATTTTAATTATACATTTAAGCACGAACACGTTATTCTTTTCTTTCTTTTTAATTATACATACAAGTACAAACGCTTTTTTTATATTGGTTGAGCGGCGGCAGACTTGCACACTCAGTAAAGCTGGAGCCAGATAACGATCGGGCGAAACCCACGCTCAAATCGACCAAACAAACGGAGCTAACGAATATTAATGAGCGCGGATTGTACACGCTAAACAAAGAGACCGAGCGAAATAAAGCGCCAACGCCGATCATTAACAGGTGCGCCAGTAAAAAAAAAAACAGCGTACGCGGAAAAGTAGCAAAACATATTGCAGCAACTTAACATATCGCAACAATCCTTCGTACATGGCCAACTTCCTGTCACAAAAAAAAAAAAAAAAAAAAAAGTGCAATGAAATATTAAATTTTTAATTGATTTGCGTTTTATGATACCCGGGCAATTACAGACCTCGTGAACGTTCCGATCTTTTATCGAGAAAAGTAGCAATTATTTTATGAACGTAGCCCGTAAGATTCAATGCGAAAAAAAAAAAATTGTGGAGCCGTAGAATAGAAACTATAGGCGTCCAAAAGTTTAATTACTATTTATTGATATTTTATGACCGTCATCTAAAATATTCCCGGGCAACAGCGCGACGTTTGTTGTTGTTCAGTCGAAATTCCCGTTTGAGTGCATGCGCCGAGACCTTGACGTCAGCACACCGCAGCTGGTTCGAAAAGCACCAAGCTCTACCTCGTCAAACTATCACGGGGCTTATTTCCGGAAGTATGCGATGCCTTCGGGGGAGTCCTTTTGGTTCTTTCGTTTTTATCTGCTTTTTCTACGAAAATTTTTAAACAAGCTTAACGTCGGCATATTTTTTTTTTACGGTTGTATTTTATTTTTTTCAGTTGATCCTTTTTACGTGCTGTAACCACCGGCGTCTCCGGAAAGACGAGAAAATATTACATTCATTACGCCCAAATTCAAATCAAAAGGCGAAAAAAAAAAAAAAAACACGTCCAAAAATATTATATTATGAAAATTTTAAAAAAAAACAGTATATTACAATTGTTTGTTTTTTGTTGTTGTTGCTGTTTTAAGGGATATAAAGAAAGGTTTTGTTTTACTCGGCTGCAGGTAAAGGAAAATGATAATATTAAGCCATATTAATAACTTTATTTTTCATCGATTTTAATGCTGGACCCAAGGAAAAAGAAAAGCTGTAATGTATAGCTTGACAAGTCCGCGGGTTCTACAATAAGCGACAGCAAACCGGAAAAAAAAAATACTTAAAAAAAAATACGCACTGGATCAAACTAAGTTTAAGAACACCGAGAACTATAAACCTAGAGAAACGCGCAAGCCTAAAACAAACTCTAAATGTTATACCATCCAGATCAGGGGGTCGTGGCCAAAGTGCGGCTCCGTATACGATCGCGCTGCCACACCGCGCTCTTTGGAAACGCGGCAACAGATTACACGGACACCGACAACAAATGTATCTCGTTACATAACCTCGTGTCACAGAGATAAATAAACACGCACACCTGCGAACCGCCGCACACCCAAAAAGTAAAAATGGCATTTCCTTTAAAAGCGACAAAACAAAAACGAACAACCTTCCTTTAGCCCGTGACAATGCAGACAGAGGCTCGGGAACGCGAGCCTGCGCCGTAATTTAAACCTGCGCTTTTTTTCTTTTCTTTTTTTGCCGCATACTTTAAATTGAGTTGTTTTTACGCGGAGTCCAAAGTTCCGTGTTTTTTTTTTTTTTTTTTTATTTTCCGCGGAGTATACAAGACTTGAGAGAGTGCAGTGCGCGGATGCATCGTGTGGTCTCGGCTCGTTTCGAAGTGAACGTCGACGTTATAAAACGGCCCCGCCTCGTGTGTATCCACCACCTGCGGGGTAGTAGAGTACATCCTGTCGGGGCAAAGCGCGATTCCCGCAACAAAAAACACTCCGTCGTCACCGTGCGCAAAAACAAAACAACAAAACCCATAGACAACCGTAAAATACAAACGACTCGGAGCGTCACAACGACGGAGGAAGTATTACAACGACGCGCAAACGGCTTTTCGAAAGGATCGGAGCTATTTTCGTTGCCACACTCACTGCTCGTAGTGTCGCATCGGCGCGCCTTCATTAATGTAGAGCTTACATAAAAACAGCCCGCAGATTTCGAGATCCCAGAGTATAGGGAAAATGATCCGACATGGTTACGGCCCGTTGCACGAACGAAATGGATGTCCTCGGAGAGCGGGCGCTTTTTATTTCCGCCTCCTTGCGGTGTCTTCATTAAACGCACCACACCTCGCAAATTAACGAGAAAAAAAAATTAAATAATAAAATTTATTGAGAGTTTAAGGGTGGGTGACGCGGGTGGGGACAAAATAAATAACAGACAACTTTTTTTTTTTTTTTTGTTCTTGTTACTCTTGTCGTCCGCGTCGGGAGTTGTGTCACCGCCCAACAAAAACGAGTTAAGAAAAAAACGCGTCAAAATGTCGTCACAGTCGTAAGCAGAGAAGCAAACACAAACACGACAACCGAGCGAAAACAACTTAAAAAAAAAAAAAAAAAAAAAAAAAAAAAAAAGCCCAGAAGGAAAAAAAAGACGAACGCGAAATGAACAAGTGAAAGCCAACAAAATGCCGACGACCAACGGAGCTGCCTTGTCCTCTGGAGAGAGAGTCCCGACGCGCACAGCCAGACAAGCGGGAAGGGCGAGGCGGACTGCGGCGGCCAACATTAAACGCTCTCGAGCCGCCGCCGACAAGCGGATAATTAAATCGCCGCTCGCGGGATCATGCCCGCCGAGCGCGTGCATGCTGCCGCCGCCGCGGGGTAGGCGGCGGCACGCCCGCTTGCCCAGCCCAGCCAGCCCAGCGCACCCCCCCCCCCCCCCCACCCCCACCCACCCCCGGTCCTAATGAGTGCTGGGGGGAGGGGAGAGAACCGGTCGGTCGTGCCAGCACCATGAACCGCGACGGACACTATGAAGCCACCGGGGTCAATCCAACTCCAAGCTGACAGTGCGATGGAACCTACGTGTTTGTCGGACCAATCATATACGTCTATCTCTGACCACGTGACCCTGTTCTGTGATGACGTCAGTCAAAGCTGGCTCAGGATTGGCTGAAGTGAAGGAAGGGAGACGTCTGATTGTTCCGGAGAGCGCGTAGCTGCCACCGCGCTGTCAGCTTCGAGGTGAACGGTTGGACCGAGGGACGAGGCGAGCGCCGAGTCACGTGACGCTCTCCGCGCAACGGATTGGCTACGGTGGCTCGTCGTAGCGTCCGTCGCGGTCCATCGTGAGGCCAAGAAACAGCGTCGTGGTCGCACTTTCCTCCGGCTGAGCGGCGGCGCGCGAGGCGACCGTATTGATTGCGCGGCGTGGCTAGACCGACCCGTCGCCGCCCGATCGTTAGCGGATTAGGCGGGAACGAGGCTGCGTTCAGAAAGGGGGGGAAGCCACGGCCGCGGCTCGAATCCGCAGCCCTTCCTTTCCTTCCGCCCGCGCTCCGATGCGGGTACGACCACGACCACGTACTACGACGCTTTGCCGGAGGAGCAGTGCTGCAGTACCGCCGCGCGATCCCCCGCTCGAAAGCGCTCCTCGGCTCGTTTGTCGTCGGGTCGTAGGAGGCGACGGAGAAAGCTGCTGAAAGTCGCTAGTCGAAATCGAGCGTGTATCGAACAAAGATGCTGCTCTCACTGGATCGGATCGTCTTGGGGGAAGCTTGGGTGAACCAATGAGGTTCACCCAAGTTCCAACGGGTATTGTTAGTTGTACTTGTTTTTCATCATTGCGAAAGTTTTCTTTTTCAACGGCATCGAGTGACCCCGGTGATAAAAATAAACTGAATGCACTCGAACAATCCCGGCAAAGTACGAGACAGATGTAAAAAGATTCGACGCAACACGTCAATCAGCAGAGCCGCAAGTAGCACCACGCCCTAAAGAGAGACGGATAGAAAGAAGCTAAAAAATATCAGGGTATGCCGATGCCTAAAATAACAATAATGCAACATCACACTTTTTTTTTTCAACTTTTGATTTTGAAAAGAAAAACATAACACGGAAATTATAGGATTTAAAGTGCACACATCCATATGCACGCGCCTCATTTCATGCCATTAAACCCTGCTAAACTTACCAAGTTCTTTTTTTTTTTTTTTTTTTTTAGCGTATATTTAGTTTGACAAATAGCTAAAGTTGAGGCTTGGGCGAGTTGGCACATACTTCGGAAAGCGCTACGTCCGTGTCACTTCTTTGTCTGGTCCTCGTCTTTCCGCGCTGTTTTTAATTTCCGTTGACAAATAGCTCGTGTCTCCTCACTGACTGCCTATCTATCGTTCCCCTCTCGCCACCAACTCTGCCCGCCAACAGAAAAGCCTTCACGGGGACCCGAACAACCATCATTTAGGGGCATATCTCGTGTTGACAAACGTGCGTCTCGACGGTTGACGACGCTCGATGCTGCCGCATTTGTCGAGCGTCGGTTCGAGAGCCCATGACTCATAAAACGCAGTCGGCGCTCCCCCTTGTAGCGAGATGCGGTCCGTCTCACGATGCACCCCGGCGGAAAGGGTACAGAGGCGAGAGAGGAACACTAGCAGTATCTGAGGAAGAGAAGGAGGAACTCTCCTTATGTACCCCTCGGAGCCTCAAAATTCGCACAGAAGCGGCTTTCCTCTCTCTCTCTCTCTCTCCCGCTTGTAGCTTCCAAAAGTGCTGCACAAAAAAAAAAAAAAAAAAAAAAGGTTTTGTCTTTTTACTTTGCTGAAGAAGGAAGACCAGCGAAGCTGTATTATGATGGGAATGGAGTAATGGCCGGCCGCAAGTTGGCAAGCCAGAGTGGAAAGGCTCGAAAGGTTGCCGCCATGTATAAGCGACGGAGACAACCGTCAAACCGGTTGTCTGGTTGCCGCCGTCGCTCATGGAAGGCGATAGCTGTCCAGAGCTCTGTGTCATCGTTTGTTTGCTGACGGACGCGATCCTGGGGAATCTAGCCCTTAATAGCTCCGCTGTAAACAGAAAAAAAGAGCGTTTTTCTGTTAAGCATTACTAAATCCCGCCTTCCTCTGGGGAATTAAAACTTGTTGTTGGCCTAGTTGGTTCATGATGCAGTATAGAGGTTTTCTTGCGCGACACAGGGGACAATTACAAGCGAGTAGACACGGACAAGCGCAAACTTTCAACTACTTTATTCGTGCGCATTCGACCACGAACATCCAGAAAGAGCATGCGCAGCACGCTACACAGACGAAAAAAAACCGAAAATAGATAATAGAGTCATCCACCAAGACACCTTCCATGATAGTCATTATCGAACCAGCAACCCGGATAAAAACTGCACTTCACTTTCAAACAAAGAAACCGAGGTATCGCTGACACAGTCATGGTTCTTCTTTATATAAAAAGCTTCCATCAATTCTCTGGCTGTGCTGTCTTTGCTTCTACCCAAGATCCTAATCTCCCGAAATCGCGCATCACACCCACAGTCGGCACAGTGAGTAGGCAAGTGTGCATTGCCTTTATTCCTGATCGACAATTCATGTTCCCGTGCGCGGTCATTAATGCAGCGACCAGTTTGACCAATATATACTTTCCCACACGAGAGCGGAATCTCGTATACCACCGCTGTGGCACAATCCACAAACGGTCGGGCGTGCTTTTTGTTGCAGCCACCTGTCTTTTCTCTTCCCGAGGAAATCCTCGGGCAAAGGCCCGCAAGCTTGCGTGGCGCAGAGAATACGAAAGGGAGAATACGAAAGGTATACCTTTCGTATTCTCTGCGCCACGCAAGCTTGCGGGCCTTTGCCCGAGGATTTCCTCGGGAAGAGAAAAGACAGGTGGCTGCAACAAAAAGCACGCCCGACCGTTTGTGGATTGTGCCACAGCGGTGGTATACGAGATTCCGCTCTCGTGTGGGAAAGTATATATTGGTCAAACTGGTCGCTGCATTAATGACCGCGCACGGGAACATGAATTGTCGATCAGGAATAAAGGCAATGCACACTTGCCTACTCACTGTGCCGACTGTGGGTGTGATGCGCGATTTCGGGAGATTAGGATCTTGGGTAGAAGCAAAGACAGCACAGCCAGAGAATTGATGGAAGCTTTTTATATAAAGAAGAACCATGACTGTGTCAGCGATACCTCGGTTTCTTTGTTTGAAAGTGAAGTGCAGTTTTTATCCGGGTTGCTGGTTCGATAATGACTATCATGGAAGGTGTCTTGGTGGATGACTCTATTATCTATTTTCGGTTTTTTTTCGTCTGTGTAGCGTGCTGCGCATGCTCTTTCTGGATGTTCGTGGTCGAATGCGCACGAATAAAGTAGTTGAAAGTTTGCGCTTGTCCGTGTCTACTCGCTTGTAATTGTCCCCTGTGTCGCGCAAGAAAACCTCTATACTTCCTCTGGGGAATTAAGCTATGTGTACATGTTTTTCAGATTCGATGTATGTTACCAAGACGTGCGAGTTTCAAACGCAAAGAGCATCACTTCTTTTTCCGACAACCAAATCTTGTAAGAACTACCTCGTTCGGCGTATTGAGCAATGCGCAAAACCTGCTTTTTTTCTTCTTCTTTTTTTTTTTTTTTCACATGACGGACTACAGCGTCGGATTGGGTGGGATGGCTCGCCGACGCATCGTCTATTGAAACTGAATACAGTTCTCCTATTTGCCATCGCGTCCCAGTGTTGTTTCCCTACCAAACTCCGAATCGTTAAAAAAAGAAAAAAACAGTCACCGTTGTTTTTTTTTTTTTTTTTTTTTTTTTTTTTTTTCTTACAGGTAAATCGATGCTACCGACGACGAGTGCTCGAGATCGACGCGTTTACGCGAAGCGAGGCACGAAACGCGAGGCAGCGCGCTTCGGGATCTCGGGGCCATGCGCGAGGAAATAACTCTATCGAAGCGGGGAGAAGCGACGCACGCCGCGCGCTCACGACCCGCAAGTGCCGTGGTTCAAGAAAACTCGGCGAATTGTGAAGGCTCGGAGCGAGAAGGCGCGTGACACTACGTCGCGTGAGCATACGTGTCCCTGCGCCCCACGCGAGTCCCGGAGGAACCAGCTGTCGTCTGCTGGCCAAGAGTCGTCTGCTGCGAAACCAACCAACTACGGATGAACACTCACCGGCGCACCACTGCCGACCGCTAGAGTAGCGGCATCGGCAGAGGTTATTGTGTACTGTGTGTACTGCGCACACCGAGGTGCTCCATCTAACAGCCGAGACGAGGCAGACCAGCTTCCGGCTGTCTAAACTTCCATGCACCGGATCTGACTCTGACATTGATGGGGCACTGGTTACGAGAAGGGCGTGTCTAATCATTCCATCGTTCTATCTCTCTCTGTCTCCCACCTAGGAATTGTTCTTCGTCAAACGCTACTTTTGAGACCGTTGGCAACCTAAGCTGCTTTCGGAAAACTCGTGCTCGGAACGTAGTCAGTCCTCAAAAAAAAATTTTTTTTTACGATTTTATTGAAAGGAAAACAGTTCGTTTGGGCTCGGCGTTTTACGCCGCTGTATATACATAAACATGCAGCGAAATGTCAGTCGCGCAGCAGTCAAGCTGAACTATACCCTGTGTATAAATTAGTTGCGGTGAACGAGTGGGTGTTTGGTTTGGTATCGACGATTCCTTCGGGCATGACAGGAAACACCAGTTACGTCCTGCTTGTATATAGATCACGAAGGATTGAGAATCAATCTTTACGTCGTAGCACTCGCGCGCTGGAAACGCGACACCCTTTATCCACCCCCCCCCCCCCCCCACACGCACACACAGACACAAAAAAAAAATTGTTCGTAAGTGCGGGCGAGTTCGAGAACTGGTCTCAGGCCCGGTGGGAAGGCACGAGGAAAGGCATCACGCGCCTACCTCCAACGAAGAAGGCTTTTGTCACAACGCTTCGACAATTCTCGTCCGACCGACCGATCAAACGCACGCGTGTGAACCGTGGCTCTTTTTTTTTTTTTTTTCTTTTTTTTTTTTTTTTCTCGCCACGGACGATTGCATCGCTTGGCGCTTCATTTTCCGCCTGAATAGGCAGGTAGGTACCCCCCAAACAACCGCCGCTCGTAAAAAAAAGAGAGGAAAGATACGCCGCCAAACACAAAGGCTCGAACTAAAGAAAAAGAGAGCGAGACCCGTTCACGAGAAAGCGCTCGCAGCTGGAGCGTCCCCCCTTCCTACCGCAATGACGCCCGCACGGAACGCAACACTCCGCCGCTGCCGCGGCACAGACCGCAACACAATGGCAGGAAGCCCTCCCTCCCAAACAGACTGGGATTTCTACATCGCTTACGTTCCCCTTTGATCGGCAGGCAGCCACTACGCGCTCGAGACAGAGCCCCCCGTTCACCCCAAACCTGACAGCGGAGTGATACCTCTACGCGCTCTCCGGACCAATCAGCAGCGAGCATCACGCACCACGTGACTGTCACGTTACGTGGCGAAGCCCGACGGTTGATCGGTCCAGTCTGTACGCGAAGCCCGCACTCGGCTGTCAACTTGGGGAGGTTCGCGTGGGACCCAAAATGGCGACTGGATTCCTTCACGACTCGGTCGTCGCTTCTTCGGCCGTCGAAGAAGAAGACAATGGAGGGCGAGTTCCATGATCGGACGCCCACCGACCGGGCACGGCTCGTTCGTGCGTCATCCCTCCCACTTTTAAAAGCGGACCGTGCACGTGACCCGGACAGACGAGCGCATGCGCGGAGGTGGCAGAAGGTGTGTACGTACCCCGATGATGGCGTTCAGTTCAGTCATCGTGACCTGCTTGGCTCGCTCGACGGCCGCCGCAACCTGCTGCTGGTGCTGGGAGACAAAAAAGGAGGGAGGCACGGCGCCTTGAAACGGCCAGGTCAAACGCCGAATTCCCCTACCCCAAACTAGCGCGGCTGGCAAAGGCCACGACGCAACTATAGGGAAAAGCTTCGGACTGTATAATAATACCAGATACCATTGTATCCGCGCACTCTTATCTAATTATCCTTTCCAAAATATTCGCTCGGGGTATATGGCGGCACAACCTATACGGTTAGAGGCTGCGGGAGAGGTAGAGTGCCGAGCTCTGGCTGGAATGATTAGTGGATTAAACGCGAAGGGGTTAGCTCCTTCCGATCAGAACGCTTAGGAGCGTCGTCTGCTCCTCGCACGCAGTGTTTCGCGTTCGAACGGGAGCTCTCGTCTCCTCCTCTTCCTCAGTTTTTCACCGTACTGGCAAAGGTTCGAGCGAAGAAGCGAAATAAAAATGTCAGAGAATCGAGTGTCAAGACTGCACTGCCGTATATACTCCTACGACGAACAGCATCGGACGCTTCAGACCTCACGCGGGCGCCGCCATTTTGAATCGCGGAACTTCCGGTATGCGGGAAAACGTCGCTTTGCCCTCGCCACAGTATACTGGAAGAAACTCGCGTTTTAAAGGGAAGCTACGGAGCTTCTTGGAAAAAATGAGTTAGAAGTGAATTCGAGTGTAGCTTTACCCCGTTAACCCAAATACCCAAATTATTTTCAGCGCAAGTATTGTAGAACGCGAGAAAACGCGAAAGACAGTCGCTGTCCGTGACGCCATCGACGGCTCTTTTGGCTGCCCAAGGCTAGGGAGGCGGGGCTTCAGCCCTATTTTGAAATTGCTCGTATGGCTCTCCGGCGCGTCGCATTGAAATACAATTTTGATATCAGTTAATCTAAAGGCAAAATGAACGCAATTCAAGCGTTTTTTCTCAAATGTAGAAGTGCCCCATCTTCCCTTTAAACGCGACTGTCTATCATTCTGGCTTCGCCTTTTTCCATTTTCTTTTACTTGTTCTAAGTTCATCCCGCATACTGGATTTGTCAACTGCCTGGCTTAAAACAAATAAACAAAACAAACTTGTTTTTAAGGTCACGCGATTTTTACGTGACATTGGATTGACTTGGATGGCTCGTCCAACGCAGACAGACCATTCTACTGATGGAAAGGAGCCTCCAGGTCTGGGCAGTTCCGGTGGTAGAGCCCATCGGAACTGCCCAAACGATAAGGAAGAAACGAGCCCCTCTTTTATCCCGACGATTCCGTCGAAACGTCCGGATGTATGTAGATGGCGCCACCCAGAACGTCCCTTAGCGGAGTGGACGTTGGCTAAAGAGGCCGACCGCTTCAAGTCCTTCTCGTAGCCGCCCCAAAAGTTGGTCGCGGAAAGGGAGAGAAATCGGAGAGCTCACCTCTTGCGAGAGAAAGGGCAGGATCTGGGCGATGATGGCGTTCAGCCGTTTGGCAACTTCCGTCTGCGAGGAAATGCAGAAACAGCGGGCAACGGTTTAGACGGGGGGGTCGCAACAACATCGCCGCGCCTTTGTTTTTTAGGGCGACAGTCTTGCCGTTGTTGTGAACGCTGGCGAGACTGCAGCACGACCTATCGCGTCCGACACCACCATAATTAGAAAATCACCGATAAAGACTATGTTCGATTTGATTCGGGAGGCCGTGACAAATAATGCCAATCAAGAATGAAAATAGCCAGATGCCATTTTCTTGTCAGAACTCGTTTAGTTACATAGATTTATCTCGGGGATTTTCCTCCTGGGCACACGAAGTTTACATAAACAGTACGTTGTGTCCGTTCAGTTCTGAGGCTCTAAATGCTGGTTCACACGTGCGACCGCTTGGGACTATGCGACGAGAGAAAACACCGGCGCTGTCTCGTCGATAAGAGATCACAAGAGCTTGGCTTTACCTAAACAGAGTGTGAACTTATTGCCTACTTGTAAGCTCTCGATGCTCTCCGTGTTATTTCTAAGACTCAATGTCGCCGGTTCTTTGACAGAGTGCGGCGACGATAGTCCTCCGCCCCCGGACCGCCGTAAGCGAAAGCATCACCGAATAAAAGTCCACCGTTCAACTTTCGATACGTTCCATCGGTAGTAAGTGGGACGAAACTCAACGTACTGAGACAAAAAAAAAATAGTAAATAAATATGCTACAGAATGTGCCATATCCTCAACAGTGAGTCTTAGTACATCGTTCCGACACCTCCTATTAACGTCCGCGTGCATCTTATGGTTATCGGGTATCGTTATCGGAGTTCTCGGAACGGTACAGTAAAAGTCCCTATGAGGCGTACGCATTCAGCCGGACCAAAGTATATCTGCCCCACGGCGTCAACGTGCATAACTACCGAAAGGCAAAATGGTGCTAATGGTGCTCGGAGAATTGCATCACCCCAGTGACGTCACGCTTCGTCCTTACCCCTCCCCCGGCCCTACCGTCATTAACGTTCCCTTCCTGCGTTCTTACGGCGGCGGCGGCCCAAGAAAAAAGAAAAACAAGGCCGAGTCTCACAAAAGAGGCTCCCAAACAAACAAAAAAAAACACACCGGCGAAGACAAAAGCAGAGTCGACCCGCGTAACGACCGCTACAACGACCAGTCTCGCCCGCTACGATTTAGACGAGGGGAAGGGTTCCGAGTCGCACGGCGCGCCCAAGGGATGGCGCCACCGGCGCATCTGAACACGCGCACCCTATGGAAAGCTCGGCTCGCTCCCTGGGACCGGTTGGTCGTATTGACGCGCCCCTTCTTTGCTCGGCGGGAGGTAGGAAAGGGGCAGCCGCTCGCTGCTTGTTTGATCGCTTCACTGTACCACCGCGCAGAGCAAAGGCTAGGCGCGCGAGGAAGATCGGCCGGGCCTGCGTTTTCTTCCTTCTTGCGACCCCCGAGTCAACGCGGAAGAATACAGGGAGTGTCTCGAGGCGACGGAGCCAGACCGAAATCAGTCCGTGGAGCAAGGCGACGGGTCGGAGACCAAGGAGCGGCTGCCACGTCACAACACCGCGGGGCCGCGGGCCGCTCGCTACTGACACGACGCCCGCGCACTGCCTACACCTAAGATATATATATATATAAAGGCTGTTTGTTAACGGCGCCGTTGGTCAATCCACATATTCGGTTTCACCTCACCACGAACCGCACCGGACGCTACGACATACAACTCCGATCGATCCGGCATTGTGTGAATGAACACGCCGCGTAGCTACGCGGGTCGTAGCGTTCTTCTCGAAGGTCACGCGTGAGATACACGCAGGACTGGATTAGCTTCCAATGCTACGCGAAGCTCGTCTTCTCCGGTTCGTCGTGAAGTAAAGCCGGGGATAGTTTCCTTTAGTGGGCGGTACCGCGGTGCGCGAAACTCCCGGACGTGCCAATCAAAAGCAAGGCCGCGAAATGACAATCCCTCGTGTACCCAGGTAGTTAAAGACAGCGATTCGGGAGCGTATGTGCGCGAGGGATCGACACGAATTACACGCGAGTGGGGTTATTCGTTGCTGCTAAACACTTCCGTAAAGCTGTTTTCTCCGCAGACTCGCACGCGTACATAAAAGCCAGCTTTACGGCAACAAACGTTTTCGTTCATTTTCTTTTTTCTTTTTTTTTCCCGGGTTGCGTTTTTGTAGCAGGTATTTCGCGATATTTAGGATAGCGTATAATGTGGCAATACTTATTTAAAAAAAAAGCATTTTAAGTATTTATCTAACTTCGCGCAACTGCAGTCATTCTTGATTGCACGCTTTCCACTCTTCCCTCGCTTCCTTCTCATTCCCCCCTCCCCCCCCCCCCCCCCCCCTTTTTCTTACCCTGTCCACCGTTGCCTGTTTCCTACTCCCCCATGCTGAGGAGGATCTTCTGCCTTGCAGAAACTGGTGTCTGGTCGTCGGCCCTTAACGGGAGCACGACAGTGTTGCCTTACTCGGAAAGAACGCGTCGGTAGTGACAGATTGGCTAGTTGGTATATAGTTACTTTTGACAATAACGCCGCAAGACAGGAACAGAAAGAAAGAGTCACAACACGAAGCGCTTCCTGTTGTGTCTCCTATATTCTGTCCGTCTTGCGGCGCTATAATGCCAAAAGGAACGTAACGCCTTATAGGAGTCATTCGAAACATCGTTAACTGCAAGGCTGAAACGGAATAATCGGGAAATCCTTTTTTTCACGCGATATGCGGTTACAGGAGTGACTGTAACATCTGGATTTAACGCGTGCACATCTATGTAGTGGCATAAAGATAGAGAAGCTGCCCTTAAAACATGCTGGGAAAATCGACGCCTGGGCCTGCACGTACAGCACGAATCCTCGTCAAATGTGCATATTAGTAATGGGTTTTACCTCGCGAAATTTCAAGGCGCTGTGTTTCTGGTTAAAAAAAAAATTAAAAAAAAAAAATTAAATGGAACATCTTTGACATCTTCGGGCGCCGACGCAGACGAGAAAGTGGCCCGACGGTCGTCTTGTGGCGCCATCTCCCGATAAGCGCAGCAAGAAGTCGGTCGAAAGCAGACGGTAGTGCGACTACTGCCTCGTCTGCTTTCGATTTTTCTCGCCTGCTCTGTATACAGGCAGACCCGCTATTTATGGCACCCTCTTCGTAACTATATAGTTACTGACAGGATAAGAACGGCAGGGCGTCGTTTTTTGGATGCGCGGAGTCAACTTTCCGTGGGGGAAGGGGCCCGGTCAGGATGGTGACGACCGATGATGGTGTTTGCCCGATGGTAGCCCCCCGGGAAGTCGAATAAGAAAAGAAAAAAAAACTAAAAGTTGTTCGATCCCGCTGGACACATTACGACGTTGGTAGGTTTACGGTGGCCAGTGTGGCCACGTTTATTTTGAAAACAAAACGACAAGTCAACGGTAATATACAAAACTTCCAAAATTAAAACCCCGTACTTTAGTCCCCAGTCTCAAAAGCCGAATCTCCGAGAACCCTCTCGGCAGCCCTTTTCTAGCCTCGTAGATGCCTCCTTTCCCTCCAGAGATGGACCAATCACTTCAAATTTCACCACTCCCACGTGGTACACTGTCGTCCAATGGTCGGCGAGCTGTCATCCTGTCGCTGTAACGGCCAAACCTAAATTCCTTGTAGGGTTGTTCTCTGCAATTTTTCCAGTCTGACTGGCGCCAACCGCTAAGTTATTGCATCGGGCAAAAAGCGACAATTTTACACTAAGCGGTGAAACCCTCTATATACAGGCACATTCGGCTAAAAGCCACAACCAGCTGCAAGAAGGGATCTGTCCGAGCAGACTACCGAAACCCGAGACGTTTCTTAACGACCGCGGGGAAGCCGCTCCCCACTCCCGGCCGCTCTGCCCCCGCAAATGCTCCCTCCAAAACGCCGACACTCACAAAGAAAGCTAAAAAAAATAAAACGATGCCGACGCAACTGTATAAAGATAGACTTTTCTAAAACAAATATTACTTATTTCTAACAAAATCCTTCGTTACTTAACACCTCCCCACCAAGAATGTTGCAAGTACACTTGCTGTTCGCGCAACATCTGTCCCCCTTTTCGAGACAGACGCGTAGCATACGAAAACAAAACAGCAACAGAGGAGCTATACCCCCTGACAAAAAAAAATAATCTGTTGGGCGACAGGGAAAACCAACAACACAAAAAAAAAAAAAACACACAAGCAAACACAGTCCGGTGAGACCCAAACCCGTACGTTCCAGATTGCACCATGACCAGTATTTATACAAAAGCAGAAAAAAAATTAACGCTGGCTACAGGCAAGGAAATGCAAACGCGAACAGAAAAAAAAGAAAAAAAAGGTTTGCTATACTTAGCCTATACCCGAAACTGTTTCTCCATGCCTGCGCGTCCCCGTCGTCTCAAATGTCTCGCGTGACCGAGGCGGTCTTACCCCCGCACTCAGACACGCGGAGGCCGGTTTGTTCCCGGAGTCCACGGCTGTATCCACTAATCCAGGGCAGTTCTGCTTAAGGTGCCCCAGCCTCGCACACAAAAAGCACCCTTGCGGTCGAGGTTTCTCAACCCTTCGCTGGTCGCCCCCAACTTCCGCAGGCCTACCCCGCATGTTCACCTGTGGCCCCTCGGCCGCCCTCTGGGGCTCCCAGTTTCGATCGCGCTGACTCTGTTCGAATTTCTCGGCAAGTTCCGCTACTTCCTGTGGCCTTAGCCATTCTTTGGTTTCATTCTGAAGTACGTAGGCCCGGACATCATCCGGCATGACATGTTTTAGCCGATCTGAAATGATCAGCTGCCTTAGATCATCTAGTGTCTCTACTTCGCGGCTCTCCATGTAGTAGCCGAACATGGTAGTCAGATCGGTAGAGAACTGTGCCCACGACTCCTCTTCTTGCTTGCGTGCGACATGAAACCTCCGCTTATACTCATCCGGAGTCATCCTGAGCTCGTCGAGGATAACGTCTCGTAGCTCCTTGTACTGCAATACCCGTCCCTCTGCTCTGTTTGCCACAACGGCGCTC